TACCAGCTTAGCCAACAAGCAGAAAACAATCTCTTCCAGGAGCTGTAGCTTGAATCCTGGGGCAGACTCTCCTTGGCCCATGTTGGAGCATGTGCCCATCCCTAAGCCAATCTTGTGGCTCTGATTGCCCAGGCCTTGGTAATGGACTGAAAGTTGCTGGGGTGAGAGTGGTTTTCTAGAGAAAAATTGAGGAACTTTTACCAGAAAAAAAGGTACCGAATCCTGGTAGACACTCCCTGTTGGTAGCTGGTGCTTTGAAGATACTGGTTCTTGCTACCGGGCCAGCACTCTGCCCAGAGAGACCAGGGAAGTATTTGGGAGGCTTCCCATCTTGCCTTTAGGATTGAGGACTCAAGGAAGGCAAGTATCCATGCATCTGCTTTCAGCCGCCCCAAGCACAGGCCTCTCTAAGCCCTTCTTTTGCTGTGCTGGAGGCTGAGGAGGTCCCCAGCCCTGGGAAGAGAAAGATGAGGAGTGTTTATGAATGGGAAGCAGGGTCTTCATTTGCTGGGCTGCAATGACACCAGGTCCATGGGCCTAGATAGAAGCATTAGCTCCCAGGGTGTATCCAGGAAAACAGAGCCATGTGCCTATTTGTCCTCAGTGTCACATGCTCCCTGCAGTTGTCAAAGGGCACAGGGGGCATGGGTGAGGCCCACACTCAACATCTCTAGCTCTTCACAATCCTTCCCAGGATTTCTGCCCCACCCAGGGCTGCTTAGAGAAATGGAAAAAGTTAAGTCTCAGAATCACCCCATCTGCCCCTGCCAGGGATCTTCCTTTACTCATCCTGTGGGATGTCCATGCCCATGACCCAAGCATCTGTGTGGAGAGAAGGGCAACTCCTGGGACCAGCCATGAGCATGTCTTCCTAGCAGGGCTGAGGAAGAGAAAGACAGGCCTATGCTGCCAGAGCCTTGGGGGAATGGTGGCATATAATGGCCCAGTAGAGGAGCCTGCAGGAGAGACCTGGGGTGGGTCTGTTAGCCTCCTCGTGTGGTCCTCATGTGGACCTCCTAGCGTAGGAGGATGCTCCTTTTTGATGCACAGCTTGAGGCAAAGAGACCCTGCTTCAGATACAGTCTGGGCAGATGCAGTGCTCAGCCGAGGAGAGAGTTAAGCTGCATCCCCAGGGGGAGTTGTGTAAGGGAGTGGGGGAGAGAGAGTAGGTACTTTCTCCCCTCAACTGAAAAGCATTGTTCTTTTTCTAAGTGAAACAGATAAACAGCCCCCAGCAGAGCTCCTTTGGACACTTAACCACTCCCTTTTGTTTCCTCATCTCTACATCCAGTTTTTAGAGCGATTGAGTAGAATCACTTCCTGAGATTTTTCTGGTTTTCCTTTCTAAACTACAGTTTATATAACCAAGGTCTGTTATAGTAAGTTTTGCCTCCTAGTTGTCAGATGCCAGGGAAAAAATACATACCCACAAAATCCAGCCTTTGATCCAGAATTTTCCTGCAGAACCCTTGCTCTTTTACGACGCAAAAAAAAAAGCTTTTAAGAGACTAATGATAATAGTAAGAGCTAACATTTATGAAGTGCTTACCCTGTGCTAGGCACTGTTCTGAGTACTTTATAATAACTCATTTAATTCTCACAACAAGCCTATAAGATGAGTACCTTTATTATCCCCATTTTATAGATAGGGAAACTGAAGCACAAAGTCATGTAACTTAACCTGTGTCCTGTACTATTGCTGGTCGAGCCAGCATTCTACACCTTGGCAAGTTGACTTGAGAGCCCACACTCATAACCACCAAACAGTCTACTCACTTGCTGGGTTTCACGAACTAGGTGGATCATGTCAGTAATTAATTATAGGATACTAAATCAGCAGCAGGGAAACAAGTCAAGAAGCTATTGTAGTTGTCCAGGGACAAAATGATGAGGGCCTCAGCTGGGTTGTGACAGGGACAGGGAATTGTTGAGGACAGGTTTAAGAGCTGTTAAGGATATCAGAACCAACTCCTTAATGAGAGGGAAAAGGGTAGATGTTTAGACCAGGAGATTGGTGCTCTGGGTGAAGAGGGGGATGATGAGCCCCAAGTTGACAGGCTGAGAGAGAGGCTTCTGGAGGCCTCAGGAGGATGCTTACAACACTCTTGTTGCCTGGTTTTCACTTCACAGGCTTGGAGCGGAAAAGGAAGGGAGTAGGTCTAAAGGTTTAGGTTTAGAAGTAGGATATGGTTTCTCTTGAGTTTTACAAAGTTGCTGAAAGAAAGCTTAACAAGACTGCTTTTCTCCATTGTTAAAGTAATATATAATTACCATAAAGCGTTTGGAAAATACAGAAGGAAGAAATGTAAACACCCATAGTCTGTTACTTACTTTTAACATTTGACATATTTTCGCCAGTCTTTTCTCTGTTATAGTCTCTTTTAATTTGTTTTGCACAATTTTGATCAATTCAGACATACAATTATTTATCTAGTTTTTTTAATCTAATGTTATAATATAAACATTTGTTCATTAAACTATGGATTTTAATTTCATGTATCAACTAAAACCCTTTTACCAGACGGGTTATGAGTGAATCAAGGGCCTTCTGTGTTACAGCTGGAGGGGAGGCAGCAGCGGGGGGTGGAAGGCAGTGGGGTCATTAGACCCAGACAGCCCGCATTTTGAGCCCTTTCAGGAATAAATGAATGTGAGGGTCGAGTGAGGCTAATGCTGGTCCTGAGGAAGTCCATCTTTTATCCTGGCTAGCCTAATTTTGAGAGTACCAGACCAATCCAAGAGTGATTGGAAATTGAGAAAGCCCCCAGTTCTTGCAGTCCCTAGAACTAACCTTATTTGGCAGGAAGAGGCCTGGACCCTTCTGCACCCTTGGGCTCTTCACCTCTTCATACAGAGAAGGGAGAACCTGAACAAGCTAAAGTTTCCCCATCGGGGGGATAACGGCCTCCCTAATGACTCAAGCTAATTCGTGACTCCCACAGCTCTATTTGTGGCTCCTACATAGTAAGTAATCATATGGTGGAAATTATAAGTAGCTCACTGGCTCCAGGTTTAGGATTTTTTTAGCATATAAGTTAGTTTGTTAATTTGTTAGTTATGGGGAAGATTTATGTGATCCAAGGATGAAAATAGGATCTAGGAAGGTGCTTTTGCAGAGCTGTTTACTGCCCAGCCTGGATATTGACTGCTCAGTGTCCCTGAGACATTAACAAATAGCTTGTTTATTTGCAGAGAAATGTACTGTCAGCCAGGGAAGAGACAGTTTTTTTCTTCTTCTGACTAAATTATTTGAGTGTGTCATAAAAACCAAAACACCAAAAGTGACAATGAAACAGTTTAAAGATGTGTGTTTATTGCCATGGTTTTCTCTCCATTTGGCATGTTCCCTCCTTCTCGATCTGACCTAAGTTGTTTCAAGATTGTCTTCAGCATGGCATGGAGAAAGCACATACTTTGGAAACAGGCCCACTTGGGTTCAAATCCTGGCACACGCAGTTACTGGTTGTATTTTCTTGGCAGTAAGATGGAAGCAATAACACCTATCTCCTTGGGTAGCTGTGAGGATTACATGAGATAAGGATTGTAAAGTGCTGGAATTTAGAAGGCTGGCCCTTGGTAAACAGTGGGTAGTAAACATTATCGCTTCCCACTTCTGCTGGTTAGAGGGCCTCTGTGCCTGGTGGTCCCTGTGGCCCAGGGATTTATGGTTCCAAAGCTCATTTTTAGTGAACGAGGATCTTAAATTCACACTTACTGGGCCATTTGCCCCAATTCAGGCTAGAGACCATCCATGCTTGTGGAGCTGCTGGCAAAACAGTTTTTCAGTCCTTTTTCAGAATTTCCATCTGAATGGATTTGGTTTTGCTACTGGCAGAAGAGAACCTCAAGACTTTAGCAAAGATTTTGTGATCTCTAGAGAGGGAAAGTGCTATACAAGTCACTCAAGTGTACAAAAAGAGGAATTATGCCAGAAGTGCTTTTTGGAAGAGAGAAACTCCAGCAGTTATCATATAGCCTGATTCATTTCCTACGCTGGTGATTTTCCCATTAACTCTAAGCATGGTCCCTTTGCCTGTGGCTTCTACTCGGAGGACTGCTGACACACCCAGACATGGTATGTGGTGGGACAGCCCTGGCTGCATTCCCAGGCAAAATGCTCCTGCCCCTCCAAGTTGTCAGTCTCCTCCCCTGAGGTGTGTTTTTTATCTATACTAATTTTTCCCTTTTATTTCTGACTTGTGGCAGCTTGTCTTAAGCCCTGGATAACAGAAAGGATTCGTCACTCTCTTTGGAGCCTTAGTCCAGGACAGGCCAGGGAATGAGTCCATGGCACAGTATTGCCCTGGGTCTCATAAAGATGGGCTTTGCCCTGGCCAACCTGCTCAGGCAGAGCATGTTTTCTCTGGCCCACATCTCTTGCTGTTTATGTTTTTAAGTGTAATGGACATCTTCAGCCCTGAGCTTGTGTCGATCCAGCCTCCCATCAGTTTCTTGACAAACGACAGAGTTTAAGAAGGGGGCTCCTTTGTGCCCTTACACATCTTATTTCTTAACCCATAAAGTTAGTCATTTTCATGATGAACAGGGAGTGTCCAAGAACCTAGTTTCAAAATGACCCTTTCTTGTTACCCTTAACAGAGAAATGTTTCTCAGAGAGTGTCAAGTCTGATTTGTGCCTAAAAGGATCTTTGTTTTGAAGTAGTGCTTAGTGCAGCGTCAGAAGACTTTATCTGCTGGGTTCAGGAATGCAAATGGTGCCTGACCCTGAGGATGGGTCAGTTAATGAGCAAGCAGCCCCCACTGGGCTGAGGTCAGAGGAATTCTGTCCAGCCAGCAGGATTGTACTCTATCAACCAGCTGGCCCTCTAGGATTCACATGTTGAATAACAATCCTTCAGAGTAACTTCCTGGGGCCCCTCATCCTCTCATCCTGAGTGGGTCTCCTGGTATCAGGGTTCTGGGGGGCAACTGCACATTTGAGTTTTCACCTTGCATTACGTGCTGAAGTTGGCCACAATATGCTCTGTTTCTCTTTCCAGCATCCCAGTGCAATGTCAGCATAAAGAAACAGAGGAATCGCAGCATCCTCAGCTCCTTCTTCTGCTGCTTCCGTGATTATAATGTGGAGGCCCCGCCAGCCAGCAGCCCTAATGTGCTTCCACCACTGGTAGAGGAGAATGGTGGGCTTCAGAAGGTCAGTTCTGATGGGGAACTTTGCACTCAGCAAAACTGAAGTAACTGAATATCTGTCCGATCCTTGACAAATATCCTTAATAAGAGTCTATGACAGTATGTGTACAGCCATTTACTTAAAGATTTGAAATTACCAAAAAATTCATCTTTTTTGTTAAAGGATATCTCAGTCATTCCCATTTAGCAACTAAAGAATGTATTTGACAGGAGTTGTAAGAGTCACTTCACATTTTTATAACATTCTCTCCTGGGTAGTTGAATGCATGAAATAGAGAGTTAAAGAACCAGTAGCTGACAAAGAAATGGAAAGACAAAAGGAGAAACAGAGGCATGGAAAAGAGCCAATAATAAATTAAATGAGTTTAACTACTTTGTTTAATAACAAACATATTTGTTATATATTCTTTTATGTGTCTCAAATAAAAAATTTTAAGTCAGATTGTCACAATAGGTAAAAATAAAATTCTACCCACATGCTGCCTAACAGACATATCTGAAACAAAATTACTCAGAACAGTTAAAAGTAAAAGGATGAGCAGAAAGATATCACACATGTATAAGCAAAAAGAAAGCAGTCTTTTTTTTTTTTAAATCTCAGTCAAAATAGAACTTCAGGTGAAAAATCACTGAAAGAAGCAAAAGGAATTATTCATTATGAAGATAGTCAAGACTGAGGGCACAAAAGTCATAAAACTTTATTCCCCAAATAACATGAACAAAGTATTTGAACAGGCATTTCACAAAATAAGAAATAAAATTGGTCAATAAACTTGAAAAAATGTTCAATATGGTCAGTAATCAAAGAAATGCAAACTAAAACAATGAGATAGAATTTTCCATCTATCAAATTATCAAAGCTATTTTTAAAGATAATATTGGGGTTTGGCATGGGGATAGTGAGAGGGAAGGTAGAGGATATAAATTGACTCTTGCTACAAGTGTTAATTGGTTACACCTTTTCAGAGGGAAATTTGGCAATATGATCTTAAAACCTTAAAAATATGCCTATTTGATTACCCAAGAAGTTCTACCTTTTTGACATAATTATGGATGTGCAAAGATTTAACTATAAGATACTATCCAGCATAGATTATAATATTGCAAAATTATAAGCAACATGATGATCAACAATAGACAGTAAAAGACCTATAGGGTAACCATACGATCAAATAGTATGCAACCATTAAAAATGACATCTCATAAATATTACTGATATAGGCAAGTGTTCACAATATATTATTTGGGGAAAAGACTAAAATGTAGTAGGTGGTATATTTATAAGCATGTATATAGTCATATACATACACACACACATACAGGCATTTATAAGACTAGAATGTTGTGTGCCAAATATGAAGAGATTATCTCAGACTGGTGGATTTGCATATAGGACTTTTTCATCTCCTCTGTGCTTTATTTCTCTTTTTTTTCTTTTTTCTTTTCCCAATTTTTACAAAGTAAGCTTAAATTGCTTTTGTGATTAGAAAATAAATCATTTTAAAAGTACATATGAATGTAAGGAAGAGGATTCTGGGAAGATGATAGCCTGAGCACATGGCATGAGGTGAGCCTGCTGGTGCAATCTGGAAAGTACATTAAGGCCTTCAATTTTCCTGACGTCCCCAAGGGAAAGAGCAGCACAGGATTCATTCTTTCTGGTACTTGGTGAGAAGCAGGGAACCACCAACAGAGGAAAATGTTTGCCTCTCTTAGAGCCGTAGGACAAAGCCTTGAAATGTACAGTCCTATGAGGTTAACAGCCAGCAGGAGCCTTGGAAAGGGCCTACACTGCCCACTTGATGTGTGTGGTCCTTGGAGGGGCTGCACTGATGAGCTGAATTGCTTTCAGTTCTTGTCCCCTGGAGGAGCCCACTAAGACAGAGGCTTTCTTCGTCTCTCTGTGGTTTGTCAGTTTGGGCTCTGCTGGACCATGAAAACAGCACTCCTTGCTGGGCCTTGCCATGCTCCCTCGTTTGCCACTGCCGACAAAGTCCAAGTCAAAAAACTAGAATATGAGAGTAAGGTAAAACCAATGCAAGAGATAAAAGAGAACTTTAGTAGATAACTCAGGAAATGAATTTTGAGTACAAAAGTAACTTTTAGAGCTTGAAAAAAAATCCAATGATTTCTGAATATAAAAATTCAGTAAAACAAACTGAGGAAAAGGAGAATGAGAATGGTCACTGCTGAGGGCTGAATTAATGTTCTGGAAGAGCAAGTGGAAGAAATATCTTACAATTCAGACCAGAAACACAGAGATGGTAATTGTGGGAGGGGAGAAGAGTCATCTGGGAGACCTAATATGCAAATAACAGGAGTTCCAGAAAGAGAAAAAGTAATAGAAGAAATTTTTCTTGGGTTGAAAAAACTCTTGAATGTGCAGATTGAGAGGGCTTACCAAGTCTAGAGGCAGGTTGGGGAGCACCTGCCTAGATATATGCACTTGAAATTCTGTATATTAAGTATATAGGGAGAATCTTACAAACGACCAGAACAAGTCATTTTCAAGGAAAAGAGAATTATACTCATACCGGACTTCTCATGAGCAATACTGAGAACCAGAAGACTATGGAAAAATTTTTATAGGCTCCTGAGAGAAAAGAATTACAAAAAATTCTGATATCTTTATCTACTCATTTATCTACTGAATCTATTATGATTCAAGATATCATTTATCTATTAAGACAAAAGATGTGCATTTTCAGACATGTAATGTTTCAGAGAGTGGGAAAAAAATCTAGGTGAGATTGGTGTTCAGTTACAATATAATTATAGAAAATGTAGGAATAAATATGATTATTAGGAATAGAACTGTAACAAGTAACATTAATTACTAATTAGAAAATAGATCCTCAAAATTCACGGGAGTGAAAGAAATGTGAACAAGCCATCAAAATTAAGGAAAGAGAAGTAGAACAAATAACATAATAAGTAGTAGTAAACCTAACATAAAGAGTAGGCATAAAACCAAGTTTAATGATCTAAATTCTCCTAACAAAAGACCAAGACTATATCAGATTGGCTTGACAAATTCAGCTGTCTGCTGTTTCTAAGAAAATACCTGTACCAGATAGGAATGGTTTTGGCAGCAAATAAAAAACTGACAAATAATAGCTTAAACAAACAAGAGATTATTTTTCTCACATAAAAAGCCTGAGTCTGACAGTTGCTGAGGTTAGTTTAGATGCCTGATGATGCCATCAGGGACCCAGACTCTTTCTGTTTTTCTGTCTTTCCATCTTTCTGTTCCACCAACCTTGGCATGTTTTCCTTCATCCACATGCTTGTTTATCATCTCAAAGTTGCAAGCTTCAGATATCACATCCACATTTAAGGGGAGAAGAGAAGGAGGAGTAGCAGTAGCCATGTCTGTCCCTTTTACAGAAAGTAGATGCTTTCAGAGAAAGCTCTGGAGACTCGTGCTTATGTCTTATTGGTGAGAACTTTGTTACATGGCTACCATGCAGCAACAAGGGAGGCCCGAAAGGGAAGAGTTTAGACCAGCATAGTGCTGCCCTTGACAAAATTGGAGCTCTTTTCACAAAGGGGAAAAGAGGAATGACTACTGAGTAGATGTACTAGTCAGTGTGGGTTCAGTTATGCTACAGTAACAACCTCAAAACCTCAGAGGCTTAAACAATAAAAGTTTATTTTTCACTCACACTACGTGTTTGTCATAGGTTGGCTATGCCTTCCATTCTGTGGCACTACTCAATAGAAATATAATGTGAGCTTTAAATTATACGTAATTTAAATTTTCCTAGTAGCCTCATTTCTAAAGATATTTTTTAAAAGATAAAATCAGGGCCTGGCTTGGTGACATAGCAGTTAAGTGTGCATGTTCCGCTTTGGTGTCCTGGGGTTCGCCAGTTTGGAACCCGGGTGCAGACATGGCACCACTTGGCAAGCCATGCTGTGGTAGGTACCCCACATATAAAGTAGAGGAAGATGGGCACGGATGTTAGCTCAGGGCCAGTCTTCCTCAGCAAAAAGAGGAGGATTGGCAGCAGATGTTAGCTCAGGGGCTAATCTTCCTCAAAAAAAAAAAAAAGATGAAATTAATTTTAATAATATACTTTATTTAACCCAATATGTCCAAAATATTATTTCAACATGTAATCAATAGAACAAATTATCAATGAGATAAAATTGACATTCTTTTTATCTTACTAACTCTTCAAAATCTGATATGTATTTTACACTTGTACCTCTTAATTTGGACTAGCCACATGTGACTAATAGCTGCCATTATTGGACTGCATAATTCTATCTTTTCCTCATTCATGAACCTAGACTTAGGAAGGCCCATAGTCTCTTTGCTTCCATGATTATCACAGCAAGAAAAAAGCTCTTAAAGTTTTCACTTAAAAGTAACATGCCTCATTTCAACTTACATTTTATTGACCAGAGCAATTCACATGACTACACCTAACTTCAAGGGGCATGGAAATGTAATCCTACCATGTGCCCAGAAAGAAAACTGGAATTATTTGGTGAACAGTGCTAATGACTATTAGAGTAGGTGGTTAATAATTTCTGGCCCAACATCTAACATACAGAGACAGAAAAAGCTCAAAAATAAAGAGATGGGCAGCATGTAAAATGTAGCTCAAATAAATAGAAAGCAAATGTGGCAACATTAATATCATACAAAACAGAATTCAAGGCCAAAAGCATTAACAGGAGAAGGAGGGACATTTTATAATGATAAAAGGTCTAATACATCAAGTGTATAATAGCCATAAAGCTTTATATACCAATCAACAGTACAGCCAAATACATAGAAAATAAACAGCAAAAAACATAGAAAAATCATTGGCAGTTTCTGGCTAATGTAATAAGACAAGAAAATGAAACATTGGTGCAAATATGGAAAAGATACAAAATTAGTTTTATTTGCAGATAACACGATTATATACATAGAAAACTCAAAATACTACAAAAAAATAGAATCATTAAAAGGTTTTGATACAGTGGCTCTTATTTATGGAGAAGTGTGCTGTCTTTCTGGAAGACTTAAAATTTATATAGAAGAAAAAAATGTCTAAGAATAGCTGAGAAATTTTTGGAAAAAAAATAATGAAAGATGGCTTGCCTTAACAGACGGTAAATGTACTCTGCATTGGTGTAGAAAAATATTTCAGTGGAATTTGTATGTTAAGATTCCGCTGTAAACCTTGTCACAGCCCCAGATTCTAATATCTCCCCTCAGTATGCTTTCCTCATACTCTGCCTCCCCAATTTATAAATCACTGCTGTGGAGAGTCACCGTCAGTGAAGGGAACATAGTTTGTACCCGAGGCCTGCAGAGGATAACAAAAGAGAAGCGAATCACTGCTGTCACAGTAAAAGCTATTTAAAAATAGTGTCTGCCTAGATGAAATGACATGAGAAAATGGTGCACCCCTGGAAGGTTTCCTGGAGTGCTTAGCTGTATGTCTCAGAATAAAGGCCTTTAAAGGCAGTTCCTCTGGCAGAGCTGAGCTCACCTGGGCTTAGTGTTCATTCATGGACTTTCTTCAGTTAACGTTTGTCAAAATGGCTTTTTGAAGAATTAAGTTAACTCTGAGTAATGCATTATCTGCATAACACTTGACTGTTCAGTCTGGAGATCAGACTCCAGTGAAAGAGCCCGGGTCAAAGTAGGGCAGCTGATTCCCAGAGGAGTACCCTCTGCCCTTTGCACTCAGCTTGGTCAGGACACCTGGAACATGGAGCCCAGGCCAATTAGGTGTCAGCAGATTCTAGACGTGTCTCTACTGCTGACTCCCTGACTCTTCCTGCCTCTTGGAATTCAACATGCCAGAGGAAGAAGGAAGGCTGTGGACAGAATGCAGCGCTTGGCCTCTAGAGTTCTATCAACCCTGCATATTTACTTTGCCCTGGAGAAATGCTTCAGCAGCAGTGACCTGGGGTGGCAACCATTGCCACTATCACAGTTACAAGCTGGACCTGCAGGCCAGTGGCCCAAAATAGAAGTCTGCAGCCCCTGGCCAGAGGCTAGGAGGAGTCAGCACCCAGAAGACCCCAATGACAAAGACCATGGAGGACCTCTAAGGGTGAGGACACAGTAAAAAGGGTTGCTGGGCACTCACTAATACATGCATACCCCGTGTATGCTCACACGCTTATACATGTAGACCTGTAAGGTAGTTTTCAAGCCCAGGTATCTGTCTAGAGTAGCACCTTTGGTCATAGTCTGTGTTTTGTCAAGCCTGCAGATATTTGTTATTGTTCTCTCTCACATCACTGATATGCTTATCTTATCTGAAGGGGCACCTGTGTATAGGGGCTGTTTGTAGTCTCCCACTAGCACAGCGGTTCTCAACTGGAGACAGTTTTGCCCCCTAGGGAACATTTGGCGTTGCCTGGAGACATTTTTGGTTGTCATTACTCCGGGTTCTACTGGCATCTAGTGAGTAGAGGCCAGGGATGCTATTAAGCACCCTACAGTGCACAGGATAGCCCCCCATGACACAGAATTATCAGGCTCAGCATGTTGGTAGTACTGGAGTTGAGAAACCCTACTCTCCAGTGACCCAATGGACTTGTGAGCTTCTAGTCAAAATCTCCCCCACTTGGGGCAGTGACCTGCTCCTAGGTCCAGATATTGGGAATAATATTATTTAAGAGCTTTTGAAATGAACTTCTTCACATAAGTTCTTGAAAACTGGGATTTGATTTGATTGTGCTGTCATGTTAGAGAGCAGCACAGCTCTGCCTTGAATAATGGCAGAAGGCAGGCTAGAATCCTTAAGACAAGCCCCAAGTGTCTTGGAAAAGGCAAGAGCCATCGAGATCATCTTAAGAGGAAACAACAGTTGTTGTTACGCCGCAGAGGTGGTGACTGGGAGCTAGAGATAATCGGGCAGTTGCTAAATGGTTCTGAGAGTGAGAGCAGAGCTCAGAAAGGTGCCACCCACCTGCAACTGTCAGCAGTCAGCTTTGACCCCTTCCTAGAGACCCCGTCACCAGTGACCCCCTCAATAAAGATGGATACACTTTTCACAAAGCCTTCCATGTGGGAGACCTTGAAACAGTGTAGCTCCTTACCAGGAACCATGAGGCTGCTATTCATTGCCTCTCATCCCACCATCTAAAAGACAAGAAGAAGCACGGAAACTGGAAATGCTCAGTGGAGATAAATTTGTTCTTTTATTAGCATTTCTTAATGGTGCTCAAATGAAGTGTTTTCATCAACCACGTTTGGAATGGCTGGCATTCCAGGCTTGAGGAATGGTTGAGGCCTTTCCTTGGGGCCTGAATTTTCTTAACACTCCTTATGAATACAGGTTCTGTTCCTCTTACAGGGAAAACTGTCCCCACATCTGTGGCCTCGGAGGGAACTTCTTGTACCTTGCCTCGTTCCTTCTGCCCAGTCCTCCCCTAGAAGAGGATCTGGAGTGACCATGGAGTTCCTTGTAATCTGATGAAATTTCTTCCTTTCCCTGCATGTTGTATTGACTTAAGGCTGAGTCTTTTTAGGGAAAAACTTACTTAAAAGAAGAAACAAGCCAGTTATTAGAGGGGTTCATGGATTAAAGTAAAGTATGGGTTTTCATTTTTATTTTCCAATTAAGGATTAAATTCCTGGGAGTAAGGGAGGCACTATTTAAATAAACAAGATGATTAATGAGCCTCAGGAACCCAGCCTGGTTTGTCAGGGGAGGGGGTAACTGGGAGGCAGAGTGGAGCCCAGTGCCCTAACTGTGGAAAATCTTTGGGTTCCTCCTGTTCATCAAATATCACCAGGGTACAGAGAATGGAAAGTCATATGTCTGCTGTACTCAAGAGTGCTTTGAAGTTTCTTCTGAGTATGTGATCTACTTCTCTTCAAACCTGACAATTATTTTTTTTTTTCTTTTTCCTCAGGGTGACCAGAGGCAGGTCATTCCCATACCAAGTGTATGTATATTTATCCAATTTTATTTAAACATTCATAGAATCTTAGCTTTGTAGCTTTGGGCCTAATACAAAAGACTTTTTTTAATGTTCTTGCTTATGTTGAGTTTTATTATGTGGTATAAACAGCTCAGTTTTATTAAAAAGAAAAATGAAGCTACATTTTAAACTGTGACCAGGAAGTTCTGTGCAGAGAGAGTTTCCTTTCTCAGGAACAGCAGGGCAACCAGCATCTATTAATGAAATTCTCACCGTTCCTCTCTCTCTGCCAAGGGCCTCCAAGTCTGAATAAGCTAAGGCAGCTTGCTGCACTCCCCAACCCGAGACTTTAGCCCCAACTCCACAGACTAGGGAGAACATACTTTTGCCCAGACATGGTTTTTTGCAGCAGGTCTGTCCCAGTGGAACTGGACTAACCAAGCCCACATCATGGGTGAGCAGAACATTTCTGACTTGTTTAACAGTGTTGGTAGCTTGGCTGTGGCTCTGAGATCAGAAAAATTGCTCCAATTCTATTCCCTGAACTTGCAGGACCAACCCCGACTCCCACAGGCTGGCTGTGCTGCAGCTGTACCCCAGCTGGGCACTCCCGTGGGCCACCCCCTTCTCTTTTCAGCCCTGGAATGTGGGAGAGTAGCTGCACCAGCGTTCAACCCCAACACAGGCCTGGACCGGCCATCCCTCAGACATTCACTGTCCCAACTGCTCCTTCTCTTCCTCCTGCTCTGCCTGCAGAGCCATTTAGCCTTAGCCACTCAGCAAGAAGCAGACCAATGACTGACTCCCAAAACAAACTTGCAGTTGAGATGTCTGTATCACACAAGACCTTTCAAATAGTCCTGTGTCCTTAGAGAAGGATTTAGGTTTTAAAAGAGATCCATGAATTATATTTTAATCCATAAAGATTCTCTGATTCAAATTGCCTGATTCAAATCTGTTCATCTATCTTTCCTTGGACTTTTCCACATATTTTCTGGGAACATCCAAGAGACATAGCAATCTTACTTTGAAAGGAATGGATTTCATTTGTACAGGTTGACTCCAGATTTCGTAATGTATGTCACTTGTAAATTGCCCATAAAGTTTTTGATAGTTTCATTTTTCTTGAAACTTTAACTCTCCATTGATTAACAAGTTACAAGGGTTTATGGAGTGATTCTGACTTTGCCAGCATGCCTGGGAGTTGGGCTTTGTTGGGAAAACTGACTTTAATCAAGAAGATTAATCAGGCAGCACGACATCTTACCCAGTGTTTGAGTAGGATACCCAACAGAATTGATACCTGAGGTCTCTTTTTAACCTTTGTATACATAGTAGTTTCATATATTTTTCCTGCCAAGTTGCCTACATTAAACAGGCGACAGGTGGCATCTCTCCTTCTGCCACTGATACTCCAATAGCACTGTTTTTTCTCAAAGTTAATTCACAGCTGTCTGTAAAGTTAAGTACTGAATCAAAGCATTTGTCAGGTAAAAACTGCTGAGGAAAATAACCCTTTTCCCATAAATCTAGATTCCTTCTAGAATCCTAGAATACAATAGCCAAGGGCAAGAAGATTGCTTGTGTGATTTAGCCCATGTTAGGTCAACAGACTGTTGACTGCCTCCTCCATGTGAGACGCTCAGTCAGGCCTGATGAATCCGTGAAATGTCTTGCAGAAAAACAAAGCTTAGCTAAAGCAACTTGCATCTTTGAACGATAACCTCCACAAAAGCAGTTCCACTGATGGACATAGTGTGGTCTCCACTGCCTGCTTGCCATCCAGAGGCCTGCTCAGCCCCAGGATTCGAGCCTTAGGAACCCCCGCAAAATCTGCACCCACCTGTCAAGGCCACAGGTCACATAAACAGAGTAGCCCTGCCCTTTCTGGACCACAGAGGGACCTAATGAGTGCTGGGAGCCCCTGAGAACTTGAGGTGCTGCACCGTAAGACCAGAAATCCAGGCTTGTGCTGAGCCTCCAAACCAGGTCCCACAACCTCCTGAAAGCTTTTTCCAGGCCCTGCACGTGAAGGGTGACCCTGAGCCTGCAGGTGCCCAGAGTAGTTTCCAGCTGGAGTCACCCATCTCTACCCCTCACCTCACCCCTCCTTTTCTTTCTCATGCTGCTCTGTTTTAGTTGCAGGTTTGATCTTTTGATTTTTTACTAAAAAATAATTCAAACTTAGGGTTTAAAAAAATACTGAAAGATTAAAGTAGAAAGAAAAAAATCCCCCAACTTGGTCCCACTCCCTGGAAGAACCACTTTTAATATTTATTATGTATCCTTCCAGAAATTTTCTAAATAAACACAAGCATATTTACACAAATGAAAATTTTGCAAATTTTTTTTTTTTGCTTTTATAAGATTCCTTGGACATCTTTTCAAATATTAGCATATAGCAATCTACCTCATTGTCTTACATGTCCTTGATGGCATTTACTTTGTTTCTGTGCTATTACAAATACTTCCCTTTCGAATATTCTTGTACATGTTTGTTTATGGACTTGAGAAATAGTATCTGTGTGATCAGTTCCTGATTGTCGAAATGCTAGATCAAAGGATATATTTTACATTTTAGGTAGATTAAAGCCAAATTGTCCTCTGAAAGCCTAATTTATGTTCCCACCAAGAGTTTGGCATTACCCCTTCCCATATCAAAAATGGTAATTATCAAATATTTTAATCTTTGCTAATCTGAAAGTAATAATGATATCATTTATTGCTTTGATTTTCATTTCTTTATGAATGTGTATGAACATCTTTTCACAAGTTTATTGTCCATGTATGTCTTTCTTCTTTGCTGTTCCTTTCTTCTACATTTTATACTGTATCTTTTTAAATATCAAGGAAATTAGCACTTCCCCCCAAATTTATGATATATCTTTAAGCCTTGTTTATAATCATTTTGGCCACAAAGAAGTTTGATTTTACATAGGTAAATGTGTTAATCTTATCCTTTATGACTCTTGAATTTTATGTCATACTTTGGAACATCACCCCAGTCTATGACGATGACCCATATTTCCTCCTAGTATTTTTCGTTTTGTTTTGTTTTGTTTGGCTGAGGAAGATTCACCCTGAGCTAACATCTGTTGCCAATCTTCCTCTTTTTATATGTGAGCTGCCACACAGCATGGCCACTGACAAGTTGTGTAGGTCCACACCCAGGAACTGAACATGGGCCACCAAAGTGGAGCACACCAAACTTAACCACTAGGCCACCAGGGCTTGCCCTTTCCTAGTATTTTAATGGTTTCATCATTACACTTAAATCTTCAATCTCTCTGGAGCTTATGTTGGTATAAGGCATGAAGTAGCAATCCAGCTTTATTTCCTTCTACAAGTGGCAAATCAGTTGTCTCAACACCGTTTTTTGAGTAATCCATCTTTTACACTCCTATTAGAAATGACATCTTTATCTGGACTCGATGTTAAATATTCCACTTAGTAACATTTGTCTCCCAACCATGAGCTTGAATTTGGGGCCCCCCACATCTTATAGGAAACCTCAAGGGCTGTTCAGTAAAAGTCAGGTATTGAACGGTAAGGAGATGTAGAGGGACAGGTTTAGAAACCACTGAAGTTTGAGTGGTTGTGGCTAAAGGTGAACTCTCGAATGCTGTGGCCCAGTAAGGAATGCCACTGGGGCTGTCACCCAAGCCCTACCATTCCCACACTCTTGCTTGAATCACACACCACATTGGTGTCACAACTCAAGGTTGACAGTGCAGCTGAGCCATAAAAATGCTGAAAGTGGGGGCCGGCTCTATGGCCAAGTGGTTAAGTTCATGCGTTCCACTTCGGTGGCCCAGAGTTTCACTGGTTCGGATCCTGGGCAGGGACATGGCACCGCTCGTCGGGCCACGTTGAGGTGGCGTCCCACATGCCACAGCTAGAGGGACCCACAACTAGAGTATGCACCTATGTACTGGGGGGATTTGGAGAGAAAAAGCAGGAAAAAATAAAAAAGAAGAAGATCGGCAACAGTTGTTAGCTCAGGTGCCAATCTGTAAAAAGATAAAAATAAAAATACTGAAAGGAGAAGAAATTTGTTTTCTAAATGTTTCTAATGCTGTTTGCCTAAGCCTTTTAGTAAGCGGTAGTGTACATACCTTTTTCCACCCAACCCTTGTGAGAACTTAGAAACAGAACAATATTCTAGTTAACGCCAGTCTAGAGTTTCCTTTGCCCGCCTCCTGCAATAGGCCCTGAGAACTCTACCCTGAACTCTGAGGCTTGAGGAGCACAGTGCGCAGACTCTAAGCCTGAGAACTCTTAAGTACAAAAACAGTCTAACGTACCAAGAAGCAGTACTACATCTCTTAAGATTTGTGAGGTGTGTGGCGTGGGTACTCTAAAGAAAAGCACCTTAGAGTTCACTATTTGTGGCTGCCAGTTCCCTACCAAGGACAGGAAATTTCAGAACTACTCCCAGGAGGAGAACTGGAATGAACTGGTTGGCAAGCCATGGTCCCTTCCTCCTCCCCCTCCCCCTACATAGTTTCTGCCCACACTCCCTCCCCGCCCCCGTCCCCCTGGCAATGCCCTCCATGTGCTTTGGAGCAGGTGATTTTGTATAGAAAAGGGTCTTCTTGATATAGCTGATATTTCTCTTGTTCTTCAGCTTTATGATAGCCTGAGGGAAAATTTGCTTCAGGACATTTTTTAGTTAATGATTCAAGCATCACCTGAGGTCACAAAACACTATTGCGCTTATATAGCGTCCTTGTATGTTCCAAGGACATAGCTGTCCAGAAGAATTCCTACCAATGGTCTGAAGAATTTGATTTAATCTAAAGCCCAGCTCTCAGAGAAGCTGTGTGCATTCGGGAAACGAGCTGAAGATGAACGGAACCCTCCCAGCCCATTGCCCCAGCCTGGCCTTGTTTTCTGCATTACAAATGCTAAATCAATAGCTTTCTTAATATAAGTCTCACTGTTCTTGCTCTTTTCTCTCTTAGAATAGTACAGTGGGGCTCTTTACTTACTGTTACCTCAGAGAATGCTTGTAAAGTGTGGGTTAAAGATGCTAAGAAAGTAATTTTTATTCTTGGGTTTGGAAAATAACTGAGCCACTTTTGGCAGATCTTCGATGTTTTCAGATATGCTAGGGATAGAATTTCTAGATCCTTATTTTCCAGGGTAGCAATTACATAAAGTTAAAATGCTGTTTTAGTTTATAAACACGTAGAGAAAGAACTGGACAGATAGACACCAAACTGAAAAGGTAGAATCTTGGAAAAGGAATGAGGGGCATGGAAAAGGGAAAAGTTGTGTTTTACATGTCTATATTCTTTAAAGTGAGAATGCATTTTTATTACATAATTGTATAATAAAAATTAAAACAAATTTTATTCTTGTCACAGGTATGCTTTCTGCAATGGCCCTAACAACGCAAATAACCCAAATCCTCCCGAGTGTGTTCATTTATAAAGCTCATCATACTCTGCCTTTTTAACACACCTTTTGATGCAAAACTTGTTCTTGCAAGTTAAATTTTTTTAATAACCTGCTTGCTTGCTGATTTATGATAAAGAACAGCGTCCTTTCTAGGACCCCGAATCCCATGCCCCCTGTCTAAGGCATATCTCTTCTCAGTGCCACAGGGTTAGGGAATACCGCTGGGTGACCTTTAATTAGAACCATGGGAGTTGGGAGGCCATAAAGGTTTTGTCTTCTGGATGATGTTGGAGAGGATGAAACACCCACACTCCCTAGGGAGAGCTCCTCTAGAATTAGAAATGCTTGTGTTCCCACACATAGCTTCATCCTGATCAGCCCTGGACAGTCCCTCCATGCCAAGATGATCATTGCACTTGCAAATGTACCTGACCTGTGGACCACCTGTGTTACATTCACTATTGAACCAGCTAAAGTCCAAAATTGGCTCTAGGTCCTTGATTTACATTCAGTTTAAACCAAAAAAAAAAAGGAAATAACCATTTAAAAGGGAATACCTCTTGATTTCATTTTTTTCTTGCTTTTTTTGATAAGCTAAATTGTCCATTTTTCAGTGGCTAGGGACAGATATTTCCTTGCGTTTTGTTTTGCATTAAATATTGAACAGAGCTTGACCTTCTTCCAGGACAGAAAATTAACTAGTTAACATTGGACGCCGAATATGCCATGGAGTAAACTAAAATACTTTAAATCATTTCTAGGGTGAGGCAAAGAAATAAATACTCTAAATCAAGAATGAGGTGGGCTGAAGATATCTAGCATTTTATTAACTCTTTATGACCTCTTTATCGTGAGATTAGCGTCAGCTACTAAGAGACATATAAATAGATTTTTATGGTTAACACAGCATGTGGATTAAAGTATAACTTCCAGAGACAGAAAATCCAAGGGGTAAAAATGCCACATTCACTCCGTGTTATTCCACAGTGAGGCAGGCACAAGGCAGAGTGCTTTACCTGGACCAGTTTCATTTCTGTCTCCTGTTATTCTCTTTGGATTGCATTTTGCTGGTGGGCCTATAGTTTCTCTTCAAGTTTTTGAAAATTTCAGTCACTAAAAAAAAAAATACTGTGGTTCCAATATAGGTCTGAAATATACTTATGTGCTACAGTGAATTTCAGACCAAATATGACCTCAGGTAATGGGCCTGCATGGTTAGAGTGGCTATTATAATTAAACATTCATTATTGTGTATTTCATTTTAATAATAACAATAACCACCAAATATGTGCCAGGCAGAATGCTGGGCATTTTACAGTAATTATAGCTGATAACAACAACCTTTCGCGGTAGGTATTGTTGTCCCAACTTACAGCCAAGAAAGAAATAGAGCTGATATTCAAACAAAGCCTTTGTCTTCATAATACCCATTCAGACAATGGCACAGTATTTGTTTAGTAAAACTTCAGTTGCAAACTACTTATTCCTGTTGCTTTTAGTAAAATTGCAGGTATTTCAATGTTTGGTTTCATTTATAACCTCATTGACATAGTATAATACAATAATAAGGGAATTGGTTTGTCTTTTACATAAAGATAATAATGTTGATTTTTTTCTCCCTTTAGCCACCAGCTAAATACCTCCTTCCAGAGGTGACGGTGCTTGACTATGGAAAGAAATGTGTGGTCATTGATTTAGATGAGACATTGGTGCACAGTTCATTTAAGGTAAATCAACATAAAAAACAATCACTGATCTTCGTGGTTTGGTCACAAATGTATTGGAAAAGGAAAAATAAAAGGGATGAAAGCTTGTGGTTGTTGGTATATGACTTCACTGTTCATGAAGAAATCCAATAAGAGTTGCTTATTAACTCAGGTGAACATTAACTCAAGTAGTTGAATATTAACATAATTAGTTTGGGAAAAAATCACTGGGCAGCCAATATCACTGAGACCTCATTCTTATGAGATTTGAGTTTTCCAACACTCTGGTGCCTGCAGAAATATTTTTCAGGTGGCACAAGGCAGTCAGTGCACCAATGCCCCAGGACACTGCTGTGTATTTGTGAAGGTAACAGGAGTGCTGTATGTTTTATTGGGAGTGGCAACGGAGGCACTGTTGAAGACTGTCAAGCAACCTGCTATTCTGGAAATTTTCCCAGACCAAGTTTTGAAAGATGTCCAACTCTGAAGACTCCCAGTGTTATGGCTTCTGAACAAATTCAACCATTTATTTTTATTTTGACCATTTTCATGACAAAAGGTTGCTGGGGTTTTTTGTAAGCTTCATAGTTAAATGACTATCCACTTTGATGATTTCCCTCCTGAAGGGTATGGGGCTACAGTGATGTCAAAGTGAGCATCAGACAGTCTTGCTTCTATCACCTTCCTCACTCTCCATCTCCCTGCTAGAATAACAACAAAAATTACAAATTACCAAAGGGCCTTCATGCACGAACAGCTTGTGCATACACTATTAAGAAATGAGTTAATTAACCATTTTTCCATTTTTTGAAATGGAGTAAATTGTTTGCAAGAGGTAAATGATGAAAAGGTTTGGAAATAGGGGATTAGTGTGTTGGGGAGAAGAAGCAGGTGTTTAGGATCCTGGTCCTGTTTTTCTTTATTTCTGGCAGTGGAACTCCCCTACCATCACTGGCAATTAGACCACGTTTCTTTTTACCCCTAGCCCATGAGTCCCCTTACTTCACTGAGAGACATGAAAGGCACCATCCATGATGGGGTATGTGTCTCACATGAACCATAGTCATTCCGTAATGATTGTTAAGAGCTATCAAATTTACCTGAAGCCCTTTCTTCCAGAAACATCTTTCCTTCTACCTCCTTCTCACTAAACAGAAGCCTTCCTTGACAGGGCAAGGCCAGGCGGTTGTCTTTGAGTCCTTTGGGAGAGTGGAAGAGAGGCCACACTTCCACTAGCGGTGAGAGATGGCCTGTATGGCCATAGGGCATGTAGGTACCACCTCATTCCCCAGCACCTTGAGGGCCCTTCCAGGATTGGTCCCAGGGCTTCAGTGAGCTTAGTCCCAGCTCAGCTCTGCACAGCATTGGAAGCCTTTTCTCCCCTGTAGGCAAGTTGCTCAGGACATTTTCAAGTCCCTCTGGAGGAAAGCCCTTTAGGGCAGGGGTCAGTTGCCATCACAGCATGGACAGATTCCTCTCAAGCAGCTCCGGGAATGTGGGCAACGCTGGCCAGACTGCCCAAGGTTACTGAAGCTTCCTGGCTCCAAAGGATGAGCCTTGGCAGCCCCTTGTGTCTCCAGGACCTCTCTGAGGGCATTGATGTGACAAGCTGATGAGAACAGCATCTCTTCATTTCTTGCCTCCCTGGCCTGCCTACATCTGCCAGCAGAATATTCTTTACTGTGTGATTTGTAATGTTCTGGGCATTTCAGAGCCCTTTGAAAGTCCAAAAGCTGTGAACCTCTTTCCTTGAAAATGTACAACTGTACACCACACAGGCTCATGGGCCCAGGTTAAGAACCCTGGCTTTGGCATGGCTGCATTTGCACCAGCACATGAGAAGAGATCAATGGCAGGTGCTTGCTCTGAGCTGGGGAATGGTTTTTGTGTTTTACTATCCTCTGTGGAATAGGATTTCACAATCTAATGCCTTGTGAGAGTTTATTCCTTCAGTCTTTCCTTTTGTTTTTTAGCATGATTCTGTATTTTAGTTGTGAAATTATAAAATACTGAACTCATTCTTGGCCTTCCAACCATAGGAGTGAATAAACTGTAATCTTAAGCCTCAGGTACTCCACTGAACGTTTAGTAATGGTTCTACGATCTAGCATTTTCTACATTTTTCCAGTTTACATATAAAAGAAGAATGTGTGTGTGTGTACAGTGATGGGCCTAAAGGCAGACCCCAGTTCAGAGTCTGACCACAGACTCCATACCCCACTCCACATCCCCACCCAGTGGCTACCACATCCCTCCATATCTCTCCTACTTGTCCCAAGGGTTTGCAATCTGATGATTCCTGTTCATCGGCCTGTTCATTTGAGTAGTTTTCCACCTCTGTTTGGAGTTCCATTTAGAACTGTATGTAAGTCCATCAATGAGAACATAATAACTGCTGAAGAATCATGTTTGAGCTTTAAATGTCATTAATATTATTAAATTATTTTAAATATCCAGCAGTTTTTTGAGTGTGCTGGGTATTGTGTTACTTTTTACAGAGCAGTCTAGGGTGGACTGGCTCTCCTCACCCTCCAGGACAGAAGACAGTGTCAGGCAAGGCCTGAAATCACTGATGCTCAGGACTAGGTGGAGCCATGGCTCCCCTCAGACCCATTACTATAGTTATGGAAGAGGAGAAACTGAGATTTGGAGAAGGGAAGAGCCTGCCCCAGGTTGTGCTCTGTGGCCTCTGACTTCACCCCACAAGTACTTAGCCCTGCTTTGGGTCTATGTGCTCAGCGTCTCCTGCCAAGCCAGCCCATCACAGGACAGGCTGCACTTGTGGGTCCAGTATAAATTATTTTCCCTCAAGTAGTACTGTCCTCCGGGACCATCAGGCTTTCACCTCCTCCCTCTGGTGGCCAGGAGTGGCTCCCCATCTTCTTGACGGAGCTTTAGGCAAGAGCTGGAGTTTCTGAGGAGCCCTATTCCCTAGCCAGGCTGCCCCACCCTTTGTTGTTGAAGCCAGGCAGGTGATACAGAGGTTGGACCAAGATGCTGAAAATGTAACAATATTCAGAAGAGAAAATAATGTGCTTTCCTGCTTGTGCTTATTTTAAGGAACCAAGGCATGCTTCAACATCCTTCTCCTGAACTGTTTTTTCCAATAATAAAACATTGGTACAGGCAAGCTTTTTTCTTGCTAAAATTTCCAATTTTATTTCATTCTTTCAGATATATTAATTATAGTTTCTTTTCTCTCTAGCCTATTAGTAATGCTGATTTTATTGTTCCGGTTGAAATCGATGGAACTATACATCAGGTAAGAAGTCAAAGCTAAATTTGAGTTTCAATTAGCATTTTTTAGTAATTACATTTCCTACGAATTTTATTTCTAAATTACCATTTCAGTAATAATTTTACTACTGAATCAAAAGGAAGCAAACTTTGTAAAATAAATACAATGGTTTTCTGCTTTTTTTCACTCAGACAAATTTATCTTATAATGAGTTTATAAGGGAACTATAATCTATAAATATTAGATGTGGTTGCAAGTTCAAATAGTTCTTTGATTTGATGGAGACTTTTGGAAGTTTCCATATCCCCTGCTGGCCTAGCTTGATGGTCTAATTAACTTCCTCAAATAATTGCTTTCGGCTACTCTCACTAGCAGGCAACAGGAAAATGCCGCAAGTTGCCCACTTATGGTAGACTCTCAGGAAAAGGTGTCCATTTCCAATGCCAGCCACTGTAGACTGAACACTCCTGCATCGTGTTCTCTAGTGCATCTTTAGTGAAAACCCAACCCAAAAGAGAAGGGGGGAGAGTGTGAGTTTTTGAATCAGCAGGCAGCTTTGAATAAGATGGCCTAGTCAGTTGGCATGCCTCTTTGTTCAGATTTTTTTCCTTATCTGTATGAAGCTCCTCTGAGAATAGCTTCATTTATGAACATGTTAGAAACACTATAGGAAAGCTAGCCTTGGAGACTGAAGAGTGGGGGAGCTTTTGTCAGGTGTTCCACAGGGATAAGCTGACCATCTTCCTTGTCAACCCCAAGTCCTAAAAGGAGAGTCTCTGGCCTGATGTGTTTATATCCCAGAAGAAAAAATCTCTCCTGGTGCTTGAGCCGTAACAGGATATCTTTCCTTAACGTTGTCAATATTCTCTCTGGCTCTTGGTTATAGAGCGTCAGAGATGGCAAGGCCTTGGAAATCAGCTGGTCCAGCCACCTCATTGTCCAAGTGGGGAAACTGAGGCTCAGCCAGAGATAGAATTGGTTCAAGGTTATACAATGAGAAGAATTAAAATAAGAATCCCAGTCTCCTGCCCCTGGCCCAGGGCTCTGTTCCTAATACTCGAGTCCCTCCCCTCCCCTGCCTTGCCTTCTCACCTGTTCTCCAGGAGGTCCTGCCAGGAAGCCCTCTCTGGGAAAAGCAGCTTTGTCCCTAGGTCTCCACACTTCATGCTTTTAAAAGCCATCAGGGAGCCAAAACAGCAGGCAGTGAGCATTTAATATTTGCAAAAGCATCAACTGAATTAACTTAGCATCTGAGAAGCAGTTAAGGCTTCTGCATTTATTATCTTTGCTTTGTTACAAAGTAATGAGAAAAAGAAGAGGCTGCCCACTGGCATGGCAAGAATTAGAAGAGAAATTAATCCTTCCTACCTCGTGACTATGAGCATGACCCTTGGGGCCTGACCTGCTGTGGCCAGCCCATTCTTGCAGGAGCTACTCCAGCTCCCTCCAGACTGTGCTATGATTCACTTGGTGATAGATATCCCAGGGCCCCAGAGCTGGGGTCAGAAACTCTCCTGAGAGAATGAAGCCACAGGCGCCAAGAGGAGGACCAAGGCCCTGGCGAAGGCCGTGGCCTCGTTCAAGTAATCCAGGATAGGCTGTGCAGGTCCCAATGGGCCTATTCTTGGTTACTTGCACGCGGACGCGGGCCTGGACGCCGGCATCCGGGCCCAAGACATTCCTCTCTGCCAGAGGCACCAACACCAGAGTTCCCAAGTCAGTCTCCTTCCCTTTGCATGTAGCAAAGCTTGCTTTCCAAGCAGTGTTCCCAGGGAGACTGAGGACTGCAGGCTGCACCCATTCCCTGGCATGAGGAATCTCATGGGCAAAGTGGAGGCCTGAAGCTATTGTAGCCACAGGCCCTGTCTTCAGCCCCCACCCCAGCCTCCCCACTCCTCAGAGCCCTGTTGGCACCCACCCCACACTATCCTGCTCTTCTGGCTCCTCACTACACCCTTGGCCACAGACCCCTGCTCACCCCATTCTCAGTCAGCCACACATTTCCTACCAAGTCCTGGCTCTGTGTAAAATTCCTGTGCCAGCAGCACATCCTGTCTGTGGTACAGAGCCCCCTTTCTCCCCTCTGTTACTCCGCCTGTAGGATGTCCAGTCTACTCCATCTGCCATTTAAGGCCCCATGCACGCTAACCCCAACCTGCCTTTCACACTTCATCTTTAGCCACTTCTTCTCCTATTCCCTGTCTCCCTCTCTTTTATCACTGCCTCTGCAGGGCTCGTCACGCAGGCCTCTGACCATTCTCTAACACCCCAAGTATTTTCAGGCCAGGTCTCATGCTCATACTGTTTTCTCTGCCTGGAAGCCCACTTCTCATCCTGTCGGCCTGATGAACTCCTATTCATCCTTCAAGGTCCAGGCCAAATGTTACCTTCTGTGATTCCTTCCCCTTGAAAGAGGAGTTAATTGTCCTTAATTTGTCCCTCTACTACAACTTCGTTATGCCCTGTTTACTTGGATGTTTTGCATATGTCTGTTCTAGACTGTGAGCTCTTCAAGGGCAAGGTCTGTGTTTTATTCATCTTTGTAACTGCTTCAGGCTGAGCACAAAGCTGGGGCTCAGTGAATATGAATTGAATTGAATTTTAACAAGTTTCATTTATTTTAGGGAAGTGGCTAATTTCAAATGGAATTTATTCAAGTTTTAATTAGTTCTCTCTTCCCACCTCCTCTGTCTTCTCTCACCAGCTTTCGCTTCTCTCCCATCTCCCTTGTTTCCTCATATTTGTTCAGGCCTGCCGTCGGGAGCACAGAGCACAGCCACTCTAGGAAAGGCTACTCTTTCTGCTCTCTGCTCAAGGCCCCTCCTGATGGCTGGGTTCTGGGGCCTGGGAGTATGCAGGCTTTACATCCCCTGAAGTGTCTGTTTCTGTACCAAACCCAAGCCAAGTAACCTTTGTGGTGTCAGGTAGACAGGAGGGCACTTCTTGTAACTTTGCTGGGCCTGTGCTTCCACCCCAGGCCTGCCTAGCAAGGGAGGTGTTCCAGTCAGAGTAGAAGGTGGCAGCCAGAGCAATCTCAGACCTACCAGGCAATGAGCCAGGCCTGGACCTCCAAAAGAACCCCGGACCATGGCCTGTGTCTACACAGGGCCTGACCCAGAGCATGTGCAGAGAAACACATGTGAAATGAATGAGTCGTTTCACACAAACAAACACACTCGTTCTGAAATCCCCAAGACCCTCAATACCATGGTCAGTTTCCCTTTCTCCCTTGGGAGGAGCGTCTGCTCTGAACTCAGATCTGGAGTCCAACCTGAGAAGTGTGTCTCCCCTGAAGTGCCACGTCTGACTACATAGCCCCTCATACAGTCTGGGTCTCTGCCCCACACAGAGACCAGGGGCGGGAGGTGGGAACCCTTTCAGGAATTCTTCCTGCACTGGGTGTTTGGGCCCCAGGCCGTCCCCAGCAACTGCTGTGACTGACCAGCTTGCTGTTTCCTGCCGTTGCAGGTTTATGTGCTAAAGCGGCCACATGTGGATGAGTTCCTCCAGAGGATGGGGCAGCTCTTTGAATGTGTGCTCTTTACTGCCAGCTTGGCCAAGGTGAGTCCGGCTCCCATCTGGGAGCTCTAGGTCTGGTGCCCCAAGCCCCTCCATCCATACCCACTCTCTGTCAAGCAGCCCTTTGTTAAGGTGAGGGAAGCTATTTCTGTGGTGACAGGTTTCCACCCTAGATGGGATGGATACAGGCCATGTGCACAGTGCCAGCCTGAAAGGCTTCCGTGTTACCATGGTGACAGGGAGCACTTGGAAAAAATGCTCCATGAAGTTGCCGCATGCAGGCACCTGAAGCTGGTTGTACAGACCAGGAAATCACAGACGTGTCCAGCATAACCGAAAAAGGGTATCTGCATCTCACCTGTTGTCTGGCAACCACATGCTAAGAGGCTCAGGCCTCTGGGCCCTTGGGTTAGCTTATACAGGTTTGGGGAAGAGATAAGTGTCAGATTCACCCATATGCATGGGCCAAATGGGAGTTCTGACTGCCCTAGTGAGCCCTGTGATCTCAGGCAAGTTACTTCACTTCTCTTGCCTCAGTTTCTTCTATACATTGGGGATAATTCTGTCTGCCTTGTGGGGTGGATCAAATAAAATAACACATGTGAAGGGCTTAGCACAGTGTCTGACTCATATTCAGCAAGTATTCATGGAGCACCTGCTGTGTTCCATATGCTGTGCTGGGCACTGTCACATGGCGAGTGCTTCTGACGTTCATTGTTTGTTATCATAATGATTAATGATGATAAAATAATTCACATGTTTTGGTCTTCTAGCTTGGTATGAATCTCTGACCCAGCGTCTACATAGCTCTGACCATAGAGAGTGGTTTCTTTGCCCTCTCCCACTGTTTAAGGGAATTAGCAGGGTCACAGGACTCTCAATATGGTTTTATCTATCCTTTCACAGCAGACAGGGCTGGCACCTGTTCCTCAGGAGAGATCCTTGCCGTGACCATCTCTCAAGCCCTGACTCTGATGGGGTCAACACCATCCATGTGTTGGTGGCACCACCAGTGTCTCCATGGGCACGTCAGGGACCTGAGTGGCCCCAAAGATGAGCTTTGTGGGGCCCGGGTCAGCCATCTGCCTGTCTCCAGATCTGCTGCAAGGATTCATATGGATGGCTCTCTTTTCTCCTTAGCATGTTGAGGGTTCTGACTCTGGATTCCCAGACATACTGCTCTGCCAGCCTGGGGATTCCTAGTTTGGGCCATCTCTCTGTCATGGCTGAGGTGAGAGAAAACCCCACCTACCCAACATTCTGCCAGGCCCATCACCAGGCCTTAAAGCATGAGCCAGTAGAGAGGGAATCCAAAACCTAGGCCTTACTTTTGCAAACTAAAAAGAGAACGTGGCCTCAGGGAAAACATGTTCCCCAGTGGGTACTCTTTCAGATGAATAATACCAAGACTAATTGCATTGTGTTGTCAATGGCTCTGCTGACAGTGCTCTGGCGTGCTGAGCAGCCTGAGGTGATAACCAAAGAAATAACAGATAGGAAGATTGCACTGGTGTCTCTGGATTGAGAGTTGTTTTTCCTTTGGCACAAGTGAAAACTCTCTTCCTTGGCATTGTCCCCAACACGCACTTAAACCTCCTTGTTTGTTCTTTCTTCCTGGACTGCTCCCACCTGCCCCTCTATCTGTCTCTCCAACCCTTCTCTCGCTGCTACTCCAGCCTGGCTCAGCCGAACCAGCTCCCAAGTGCAGCTTTCCAGCCTCGTTCCTCCCTGATGCCCAAGTTCTGTTCACAGGTGGGCACTGCCCAGTTTTTGGCCCTGGGCTCAGCTCCCAGCCAGCACCATTGGTGCAGTAGACTTCCTGGCTTGCTGCCCAGGGGCCTACAGGAACCCTAAGCTAGCTGTCAGAGCCCTTCAACATCTGCTTCCTCATCTTAGTTTTTGTAATTCATTCATTCACCCAACAAATATTTACTCAGTACCTACTGGGTTTTGGGCACTGTACTAGGCACTGGGGATGCAACAGAGAACAAAAGTGACTAAGTCCCTGCCCTCATGAAGCTTACATTCCCCACATTCATCTCTAAGGCCTGAAGCTCCCAGACTCAGACACTCCCTTGAAAGATGTATGCCACCACCAGTGTTAATGCTTATGAGGCAATTAATCATCTTTTCTATCTAGAGTCAGCCCCCTATAACACACCCACGTGCTGCTTGCCTCACCAGCAGAAAACTGCAGCACCTTGAGCTCTTACTCCACTTGATCAGCAAGAAATACAGTCTGCTTCTGGACTTTGCCTCCCTTAGGATGTCTCTGGAGAGAGGAGGACTTTCCTGTGGAATCCGACCTGCTACTTGTAGCCCTGTAGCCCTGCATCCCTGCAGCTATGCCAGCATTTGCTCTGCACTCAGGGCCTGCTATGTATTCCACTGCTGGCTTTCCAACACCACCAGCCTCAGCTGCTTCCTGTCTCACTGGCAGAGTTGCTGGGCCCCTAGTGACACCTGGTTCTGCCCCTCACTTTGGTCTTGGTGCTGAGGCCTGGCCTCACATTGGGCTTGGAACTGCCACTCTTGCCTCCAGCCCCAGTTGCTCAGTCTGGCCCAGTCTTTTAAACATCTTCATTTATGAATATTTTCCCTCAGGGATGACCCCTGTATTTCTTTATCCAATCTAGCCCACTATGGGGAAAATTCCCTAGGCCATGAGAGAGGGCCAAGCAGGATGACCCCCAAACTCCCTCCCATAAAACTCCTGGGCTCCAAGTAAATGGAAGGTGGGTATCTGGACAGCATCCTGTGACAGTCAGGGGCTGGGCTGGCCTAATTGCCCAGAGCACCTCTAGAGGGCAGTGTGGCCTCATGCCTCACAAGCCAAATTCAAAGCGCACTCATTCATTCACTGATGAAACTAGTATTTATTGAGCCCCTACCATAAGGTGGGCACTCTGCAAGCTGGTAGTGATATCATGGTGGACACGGCAGGTAAGGCCTGTTCCCTGACAAGTGAAGAGAAACTAAAGTAACCCCAGAGAGTGACAAGCTCTGTGAAGGAAATTACGGTGAGGCAGTAGAGTATCCAGAAAGGAAGATGCGGGAGTACTCTAGATAGGTGCTAAGGGAACCCAAGATCTTAGACAGAGGGAGGGGTTCATGCAGAGCTGAGAAGAGAATGTTCCATGTAGAGGGAACACTGGTGCAAAGGTTCTGACCATTTTTCAAAGCCCGTGTGGCTCAAATGATTTGAGATGGAGCTGAGTGGTTGCAGAAATCTTGCAGCTGCAGCCATACGGGATATGGTGGCAGCAAGGAGTGTGGGCCTTATTCCAAGTGCAGCGGGTAGACAGTGGAGAGCTTTAAGCAGGGGAGTGACGTGATCTGACGTGTGTTTTCCAGCAGCTGCTCTGACAGCTGTGAGGTGAATAGGCTGGAAAGGAGGCCCGAGGGGAAGAGACTCTTTAAGAGGATCACACAGCCACCCCAGGCCAGAGATGACAGAGGCCTGGACTAGGGCAGTGACAATATAAATAGAGAGATGCAGATGTTTTTGGAGATGGAACTGAAAAGAATTTCTGATGGATTGGATATGAGAAGTGAGTGGAATGGAACAATCCAAGATGTCTTACGTGCATGGAGAGGAAAATAACCGGGATGCTACAACACATCCAATTATTTAAATCCCTTTTTAGAAAAGTAATATGGATCTTGCTGCAGTAGGTTAGGATTTCCGGGCTCTTTCAGGCACCCAGCCTTCATTGTGACACCTGCTTTCCAGTATGCAGACCCTGTGGCTGACCTCCTAGACCGCTGGGGTGTGTTCCGGGCCCGACTCTTCAGAGAATCGTGTGTTTTCCATCGTGGGAATTATGTGAAAGACCTGAGTCGCCTTGGACGGGAACTGAGTAAAGTGATCATTGTCGACAATTCTCCTGCCTCGTACATCTTCCATCCTGAGAATGCAGTAAGTAGCCCCAAAGAAAAAGAACGCAGAGCTCCATCTGAGCGCTGTCTTGCCAGGCAAGCAGCGCTTTTGTACCTTCAAGCCTGTGCAAGTTTTCTTGGCCTTTTCCTTGGTGAAATCCCAACTCTGCCACTTAGCAATTGTATAACATTAACCAAATTATTTAACCTCACTGAGCCTCAGTTGCCTCATCTGCCAAATGGAAATTATATGAATGCTGATCTCATAGGATTGTTAGAGGATTCGGTGTGGCAGTACATGAAAAGCCCTTAGAACAGTGCTTGCAATGGGTAAGTGCTCGATGAGCCTGTGTCTTCTTAGCATTTTTAGCAGTGTTACTAAGAAGGGTTCTGTCTGCCATTAACCTTCTGGAGCTGGCTGCTGCCCAGGACTTCATGACCCTGTAGACTCAGAAGGCCTAAGTAACCTCTTCAAGAGAAATATTTCTTAAATGGGAATGAATAAAACACTTCAATAAGGTCTTCACATAAGTCTGCCAGGCTTTACCACCTTATAATGATGTCTAAAATATATGCAATGGGAACATTCTTACGTAAAACTCCCTGGAGCGTGGCAGCTCTTAGTGCCTACTCACTGGGTGCAGCACAACCCTCAGAGCAAGAGAGAGATGCCCTCCGACCTCCCACGCTATGTTTCCAGTAGGAGAGAGATCAGCCAGGCCCACTGGTGACTGCTGACCTCTCAGCAGTAGCTGCCATCCCAGGTCCTCAGCTCAGGCAGCTTTCCCTGGAGAGGAGACTTCCTCCCAAGTGCAGGCTTCTCAGACTCAACAAAAGCCCACCCAAGCCCCTTTCCATAAGTCCAGAACTCTGCTGCTCCACATACAACAAAAAAATGAGTTCAAACTAGATTCACTTGGTGTGTAATCATTATTTTAATAAACATTCAAAGTGTACTATATTTAAATATGTTCATTTTAATGAGTTAATCAAATTCTACATAATGCATTTTGTAATGTGTCTCTAACAGATAAGGATTATCACAATTCCATATCACATCTGACAAAACTAACATCTTAATATTATCTAATATCCAGACTGTGTTCATATCTTCCCTGTCATCTCAAAATGTTTTCTTACATTTGGATTGTTTGAATCAGAATCCAAACACGGTCCATGCATTGCTTTGGTTAATATGTCTCTTAATTTTCTTATAATCTTAACACTTCTCCCACCCTTCTTCCTTTTTCTTCGATGCTGTTTTTTTGGTGAAGAAATTCTGGTTCTCTTGAAGAAATTTCCTGCATTCTGGATTTGTATAGTTGCAGCCTCATGGTGGCGTTCATTATGTTTCTCTAGCTACCATATTTCCTTTAAACAAGTTGTTAGATGGCTACTACTTGATTCGATTCAGGTTCAGGTTTTTTTCAACAATACAATGTAGATGATATTGTGTACTTACCATGGTATCACATCAGGAGACATATCATGTTAAGTTGTCCCACTTCTAAAAATTTTAAGTTGATCTGTGAATTCACGTGCTGTTAGCCTGATCCATCCATTTTAAAATTCCCCATCAACCCTTCACCTAAAAATTTGAGCAGTCCTGGGGCTGGCCCCGTGGCCGAGTGGTTAAGTTCGCGCACTCCGCAGCAGGCAGCCCAGTGTTTCGTTGGTTCGAATCCTGGGCGCAGACATGGCACTGCTCATCAGACCACGCTGGGGCGGCGTCCCACATGCCACAACTAGAAGAACCCACAACGAAGAATACACAACTATGTACCGGGGGGCTTTGGGGAAAAAAGGGAAAAAATAAAATCTTTAAAAAAAAAAAAAAAAAAAATTTGAGCAGTCCTTGAGATCATTGCCTACATCCACTATTTCATTAGGAATTGCAAAATGGTGATTTCTAAATTCTATTATTCTTTCTGCATTTATTGGCTAGAATTCTATTTTTAAAAAATGAAATGTTTGTATAGGGAAGTCAGGATAAAGTCTTGGTTCTTTTTCTTCAATTCTGAAACTTTCAGAGTAATGAGTTTGTGCTTTGGCAACCTCTAAAAGTAACCAATGAATTTTTTATAGGTATCATTATGAACTCCTGGATTTTTTTTATTTTTACAATTTAATCCATTTATTATTCTTTTGTATGCTCAAGTGTTCGCCTTTGGCCAGTGGACAGCTCTTCAAATTACAGTAGGCTTTGATAGCATCTTGCTTTCTGGTACAACCAGATGTTCCCAGCTCATCTTGTCTATTTCTTGCTTCAGCTCTGGAATCAGCCATTTTTCTAGGTAGTCTGGTTCCTATTAGTGGAAATGGTATATAAAACCACAATTTAGGTCGTTTCTCACTGTTACTGTAATTCTCTTTGTTTCTAGCCCTTTCTACTGGACAAAGCTAAAATATACTTTTTTTTTTTATTGGCCCCAAGCTAACATCTGTTGCCAGTCTTTCCTCTTTTTTTTTTTCCTCCCCAAAGCCCCAGCACATAGCCGTATATCCTAGTTGTGTCATTTTAGTTGTTCTACGTGGGATGCCACCACAGCATGGCTTAATGAGCGGTTTGTAGGTCTGCACCCAGGATCCAAACCCATGAACCCCAGGCTGCCAAAGCAGAGAGCGAAAACCTAACCATTTGGCCATGGGACTGACCCCTAAAATATTCATATTTTTAGAATGCAAACTAAATCATAAATTCATATTGGTTTTTTCAACTCAATGTTATAACAGAGTCTTTATTTAATTTCTTTGTTTTTCTATGTGTATCTCCTCTTATGCTGAAACTCTTGATTCCTAAAGATATTAACATTACATATTTGATTTATTCTATGGTAGATACTTAATAGTTTCAAAATAGCGGTACTAATGTTATTACTGATGATAAGACAATTGAATGCATTTAGGGTTTTTTGGAGAAATGCAGAGACAGAACACTATGTTTTAAAACCCACTTGAACTAATTGTCTGTGTGGTTGTGTCACCACCTTTATATACACCTAGGTTCATTTTTTTATTGCTTTCTTTTTCTTAATGGTTTAATTTTATTTTTATTATGTAACACATTTACACAGTTCCAACATCAAAACTATTAACAAAGATAAATTCAAAGAGGTCTGGTGTCCATTTCTGTCCTCTCTCCTGTTCCTGCCCCTTCCCCTAGAAGTGGTCATTTTTTTATTAATCCTTATCGTGTTTATTTTTTTAATTACATAATGAATTGTTATGTTTCTAAGTGGTCTTTAGATTTGTAAAAGGCCAAAAATAATACTTTTAAACTTTTTTAGTTTCCCCAAATTTCTCTTTAAATCTCTTCTTTGCACCCCTGGCTGTCACGCACTACTACCCCTCCCCACCCCTGTGTCTAAAACTAAGGAAAAGTTCTGTCTTTGCCCATGGCTTCAGAATTTCCTGAAATTTTATACTTCTCCTTTCAACTGACCACAGCTAAGCATGGGAGGAAATTCTCCACTTGTCTTTGCCATGCAGCTTGGCATAATGGCCCCAAGTGGAAGCTATCCTGTGCCCTATTCATTGGCTCCCTGGTGTTGGTGGTTGGCAGATAACCTCTGGCTCCAGGTGCTGTGAGGTTCAAGGAGCTGGTTTGATGCAATGGAAAGAGCTTTTTGAAATTGGCAAGTAGCAAGGCCAGTTCTCATATATTCCGCGCTCTGGCCACCTTTTCTATGGCAGGAAAACAAAATAGATAAATGCACGCAAACTGGGTACACTAAACTTTGCCTCCTGAGCCATCTCCTGAACCAGGTAGCTTTGGATTGATCTTAGCTGGGACGAGGGAATAAACAAAATGATGATGATGATGATGATGATTTCTGGATACCTCTCCTCCTTACCAAAGAAAATGTTGGAACTTCAGGGACCCAGTCAGGTTGGGAGCAGCCCCCGGCCCTGGAAACAGTTCTGCTGCCCCCCACCACACACTGTCTTCCAGGTGCCTGTGCAGTCCTGGTTCGATGACATGACGGACACAGAGCTGCTGGACCTCATCCCCTTCTTTGAGGGCCTGAGCCGGGAAGACGACGTGTACAGCATGCTGCACAGACTCTGCAATAGGTAGCCCCGGCCTCTGCCTGCCTCCCGCCTGTGCACTCTGGAACCTCTGGCCTTGGGAACCTGCCTGGCCTCAGCTCCCTGGGAGCTGAAAGTGAGGACACTCCATACTCCAGACCACTGGGTGAATGTGGCCATACCTACCTGTTTTATTTTTTAAGAACAGAAACAACTATTTTAAAATGAACTCTTTTAACAAATTTCATAAAGGGACATGCATTTTACTGGATTTGCTTTTCTTAAAACATACCAAAAAGAAAAAAATGGAGGAAAAAAAAAAAAGCTTGATATCTATCAGACTTCCTTTCAACTGTCCTCCCCTCCAAGCAGACAACCTGTCCCCTTCTATCCCAGCTCAGAGCAGCTGACCCAACTCAGAATCTCTTTCCTAAAGGATGAAGTGCCTTTTTGAATGTTATTTTAAGCTGAGAGTTAATTTTTCTACACAACATATTTCCAGACATCTTTTAGTCTTTTATTGTCTTAGATTCTCTAAGAAGATAAATATGACAATTTTCTAGAACCTAGGGAGCAGGGGGTGGCGAGGGATGGGAGCGAATCATAGGAGCCTGTCTCCCGACAGGTGTGACTGCTCTGACAACCTGTGGCGCGCTGCAGGGTCAGGCTCCTGATGGGAGGTTTTGTGACTGTGTCAGTGTCTCCATTCGTTTCTGACCCAGTTTGGAATGTATCTGCAATTGTCTGGCTCAACAATTTAGGAAACAATAGAGTCTTTTATATTATTATTATGATTTCTGACGGTGACAAATCTGTCTCGAGGTCACATTTTCCTCTTTAAAGGTGGCATCATGTCACTTCTGCTTTCACACTACTGCCATACTTCTGTAATTTTTTTGCGTTGTTGTTTTGGGTAGAGCAGTTATGAGAGACTCTAAAACCCTTGGATATTAAAAAAAAAAAATCTGTTTATTGATTTTTAAATCTTTCCTTTCCAAAAGCTAGATACACACGGAGGTGTTTGGGAATTTTCTTTGCTGCTACCGCGCTGCCACCAAATGGAATTGACCAGCGGCTGTTACACTGTTCTTTGCCACTGTGCCTATGCTCAGAATCTGCTCACTGCTAAGCTGCAAACATGGACAGGGTCAGAAACATAGGTGTCCCACCCCATTGCAGACTGCACCAGCTGTATCTTGTCCCTGGCCCTGGCCATGGGAGTTCAGAAGGGTACAAAGACAAAAGGGCCAGCGTACCACACAGGTGTGGCATTAATTTTCAACTGCAGTCAACATCAGATCCTGTGATAAGCTGACTGTTCTCTCATGAGAACCTGTGGCCTCAACCAGCCACCACGCTGATGTGGCCCAAGTCCATCTCTTGGTCTTCTCTTTTGAAGCACAGCTTATTTCTGAGCCGAGGGTTGGGGAAGCCCCTCTAGATGTGAGGCTCATCGCCCCAAGCCAGGGAGAGGCTCTCTCCCTGAGCCAGGGCTCCTTCTGCAGCCTTTCCCAGTGAGATGTTTTAAGCAGTGCCATGTTCCTTGTTCGACAACAAGGCAGTCTATAAAGTCTTGCTCTTAAAAATAATTTAAAAGAACCCTTTTTTGTTGGCACCATTGCCTTAGTCCTCTGTGGGTTGGGCCTCTGCCAGAGTTCTGGTGGGAGCGACTGGCACTAACAAGACTGGAAATTGGGGGTTGAAGTAAAATTTCTTTTTTGCTTTCATTCATAAAATAATGAAGCCAGCTGCCAATCACGTCCTCCCAATAGCACTTTGGTGTGTGGACTGCCGTGCATTCAGAAGAGAAGTAAGTATTCAGGGGTAACCAGGTCTCCCAACATTCTGAGTGTTCCAAACCCGGTAATCCACATGCCAATTAAAATAGAAACAGCCCTTGTTAGGCATTACCATAGATAATGACAGTTACATGGCAGATCTGCACATGCCATAAACCTTGATTTAGAAGACCAGTCATTAATGAACCCTCTGCCTTAAATGTCATGAATGTTGCAGTCAGGTGTTTGTCATCTGTTGAAATCCACACAGAAATCAGTCCTGATGAGAGCCTTAGACCCTTACCCATGCCGCCTTCCTTGTTGGCATCACAAGGTCTTATTTGGAATAGGGGGCAGAGAGGACTGAAAATTCTAGAATATTTCAGGGGAATCAAACCTAGGAATATGCCCCACTTCTGACAGATGAAGTAAAGACACTTGGCAGGCTTGAGCCAGATGTTCACCTAGTAGTTCCTGAAACCGTGAGTGCCATTGCACTAACCCAGTGTGGAGCTGTTGGGAATGGAGCCCGGTTCCTGCCACCACAGACACAGAATGTCTCAGGAGGGCCAGCACACCTTCTGAGGGTTCTGGATTCTGTGCACCTTATTTGACCATACTCCAAAATCCTGTTTTTATTTTAATCCTTGATTCTGCTTTATGTACATATTCAAAATATCTATATCTATATTTTTAATCATATACATGTAAATGAAGCAATAGAATTCTAACATAAGGCCAAGAAATGAGATGAATGTTTGGGGTTTATGTTTTTTAAGGTAAATACGGGTATTGTTTTTAATTATTACCTTTTATTAAATTGTGGGCTTTAAAACCTAATGAAACTTCTTAACTATTTCTATGTGCCATATACTTCCCATGTTACCAAAACATTCCCCAACTCTTTAGCCAAAAGAGAAATCTGACCTCCTGAGATTCCATGGTCCTTTCTGTACCGGTTAAAATATAGTTTCCTGGACAAGTATTTTTTACATTAAGATCTGGAACAGGGTACCTTGGGTCATGGACTCCGGCCCCTGTGATGTTACAACATCTCTGGCCAGGCCTCGAGTGGAGGTGCCCAGGCACATCCAAGATTGTTACTGCTCTGTCTTTCATTGCTCTGGAATCCTACGTGTTGGTCTGTGGTTTCACCCATTAGCTGTTTGTAAACAATTCATTTGTATAATAAAAAGGAACACCACCTGTCATGGCTGATGGTTGGTGGGGAAGCTCCTTTGACATGGTGCAATTTTGATGAGATGACTTTGGAGACATGAGGATGCCCTAATGACACTGTCTTGTCATGGTTGCAGCATTTGAACTTTTGATATAAAAAAGAAATCTGTAAGTGTATATAACCTGGCAACATTTTACACCCCTATATTTTAAAGATGGCTTTCTAATAAAATCCAAAACAACACAGCCCTATGGTCAAACACTCGTGACGTTTGTGCCTCTGCTTTTAAAGGTGCTGTGATGAACAGTTGGCATGCCAGGGTTCAAGAAGAGTGGATGGCTTGAAGTGCTTGCAGTTACCTGTGCAAAACTGACTGGCTGCCTCTGTTCCTATTTTACTGTAAATTCGATGGTGTCTGTTCCTGTTGCATTCTCCAGGGAGCTTCTCTGCAGACTAACACCCCCTCAAGTAGTAGAAATGCTGGTGTCTGGGTGGTCCTGGATTTCTTTTGGACATTTGAACATGATATACAATCCAGCATTACTTGGGAATTACTACATGTGGAATGTGCACGTTTCCAGGGGCAAGCATTTTCAGTCAAGAGGTTTGCAATGATTTCCTTCCTGCCAAAAATAAACACATGAAACTATGCTCTCATGGATGGACTGCTTCTCTAGTGCAGCGCCTCTCCTCACTCTTTTTTCTATTCTCTCCCCCTGCACAGCCTCCTGCCAGCATTTTGGGTCTCCTGGTGTCCCAGCTTCTGGAAAGCAGGGGTGGATGAGAGCAGGGCTGCAGGATCCCAAGAGCCACAGACCTTGACCCCAGGGGAAGCTGGAAAACCATTCTGCCCAATATTAGGCCCTCTGGCTTCATCTCCCCAGACAGAGCAGCCTGGCTCACCCTCCTCTCACAAGGATTCCAGCCCTACCAACAGATTTCCTAATGCAGTCCCCACCTCATCCCATAAGAGGCACAGGCATTGTGTGTGCTGTGTATAGAGCCTAAACCCTTAACGTTTGGGCCCACTGGCTGAGATGCTGTGAAGCATGGCACAGAATCAGAGAGAGGGTAAGGATATACGGACAAGTCAGTTTCTCACAGTGGGACATCCTACTGACATTGCCCTCAGCCCAGCCCCTCTGTACATGAAGGTACGAGGGGCAGCAAGTCCCCCTCTGCTAGGGACTCCGGGCAGAGCTTTGGGCATGGCCTCACCACACTCAGGACTCCTTCTTCATAGTGATACCTAATTCAAATAACAAAATCAGTGTCATCAATCTCATCAGATAGGTTTATCCCCATTTTGTGGATGAGACAACTGAGGCCAGTGAGACAATGGTTTGCAGTCTCTGTTCTATCACAGGGATACAGCGTCCTACTAGGCATATATATTCATCCCAAACAACACAAGACACAGTGTGTGTCAGCCCAGAAAACCTACTATTTACCTAGAGACAAAACCCAAAATCTCTACAGCTAGTCTGTGCCAGGTACCTCTCAGTGAAGAAGGTGGCCAACCAGAGAGGTGACCCCAGCTTCCTCCCCTGGTTCTGGACTCCTAGGCTGTGTCCCTCTCTGTACCTCCCTCTCTCCTTCCCTCTGCTCCCTAACCCTCTCTTTCCCTCCTGTCACCTCTGGCATTGCCTGCAGACCCCCAACTGCTTCACATCTTTGCATACAAGCAAATAGACGGTTGAGAATTGTGGCTGCCCCTGAAGCTGAGGTGTCCCAGTGAGTGTCCATAGATTCTCTGAATAGGTGGGAAGGAAACACAGGTCATCAAGAGATCACTTATTTGAGACTTGGGCATACTGAGATTTCACCTCCTGATGTTTTCTTGTGTGAGCAGTATCATCTCTCTGTAATCCAAGACCAAGGAATGATCAGAAAGCTGGGGAGGGTAGGCAAGGAGTGGCTGGGAAAAGCCAGCTTGAGAAGACAGTCTGTTGAGCTTATGGATAAGGGGTGCACTGGGCTTGGCAGTCCTCCGAGTAACCTGGGATGCTTACGTGGCAGATCTCCTGTGCCAGGGCTGCCCGTGGATTAGCGGGCTGCTCAAGGCCTGGAGCTATCAACTGGCATGGCCATCAGCCCAGTCTCCGGGGAGAACACACTGAACCCTCAGGAGGAGGATATGTGAGCTCCAGAGTTTTCCACGTCAAGCCTCCATAACAGCTCCATCTCCCAGCTCAGTGATTCTCAGTTCTGAGTGGCCAATAGGATCACCTGAGGGCTCTTAAAAATACAGATCCCTCAAGTCCACCCCAGACCATTTAAACCGAAATCTCTGAGGGTGGGCATCAGATTTGTAAGTGCCCCAGATGACTCAAAGGTACAGCCAGGGCTGAGAACCCCTGATCTGATGGGCTATAGAAGAAAAGAAACAACACTGTTCTAAGCCCGACACCTAGGTATGGCAGAGGAGTTATGGGCAGGGCTTAGGGGACATGACATGTATTGCTTTATCTCAAAGATGGGTCATATGTGTTCATTGCTAAAAATTCAAGAATCCTAGAAAAGTACAGAGAAAACCTCACATGGGCACTGGGAACCTTTCCCAAGGCAGGGCTGAGGAGAGGTTCCTGATAGAGCCCCACCTGGGTGGCAGCTCCCTGCTTTTACACTGAGGTGGGGAGCAGAGAGAATACCCTCATTTCACAATGGTGCATGGGGTCACACTACCCACCAGGAAAGGAACCTAGGCTTGCCAAACCCCCTCCACGTCCGTCGTCGTCGGCCCTGTCTCTGTGCCCCATCCCTGCCGCACCGCAGTGAACTGAGTAACAAACAGCTGACTGGCCCTGCGGTGGGGGCGAGATTATCCTGCCCAAGCTGTGTCTGGATGGGGTGGGTGTGCGTCTGGGCAGGGCCACACATCCCCACCTGCGGACACGCAAGGCAGTGACATCTCACTTGCAGGGACCTAGGGCTCTTCTTTGATCCGTTCTCAGACTCGGGCACTCCACACGGCCCATCAGAGTGGTGGCCCCGCGGGCAAAGCGACAGGCTCCACCTTCTGGGGCCCTGGCGGTTCCCATGGCACCCTCGGAGGAGTCGCTCTCGGGCCATGAGTGCCCTGGTGACTGTGTCTGCAGCCAGATGTAGGGGACCCATGTGGGTCCAAGGCTGCTCTCCTCAGGGGCATGGGCTGGGGCGTTTCCAGACTGTGGGATCCAGGACCAGACAGTCCCGCCCCCGCACCACGCCCTGTCCACGCTCCAGAGGGGCACACACACCCCCACCCCCCAACCAGATCTCCACCAGGGGCGACGTTCTGCGCTGAGGAAGGACTCAGCTGAGACCTGGGCCACAGACGTGGAATGAGCGCTGAGGGAACCTGGGGGCGGGGCCTGGAGGGCGGGGCTGGCTTCCAGCGCATGCCCCGCCCTCCCCGGGCCACACCGGCGCCTTTGTCAATATTGACGTGGGGCGGGCTGGGCGTTCGGAGATAAGCCAGGAAGGAACAAAGCAGCGTCCGAGAGCCCAGAACCTGCCAGGCGAGGGTGAGGGTGGGCCACGGGGACTCCGCAGAGGGAAGAGGTCAGTAGGACGAGGGGGTCATGGCTAGGGCGGTGCTGGCCGAGCCAAGCCAGGCTCAGGGCCCTTCTGACATCTAGGCCTGCATCCGTGGAGGGTGGGCCAGTAGAGGCAGGAGGTGATGGAGCCCCCTTGCTCTGGAGGAGGAGATGGGGAGAGGCTGGGCACCTCTTCATCCTTATAGCACCCTGGCTGCCTGTGAGCACTACCCTTGGCCTTAGCTTCCTCTTTCTGCCATGGTGTGATCCCATGAGCTGCAGATTGTCCACATGAGACACAAAGCATGATGCTTATCTTGGTCCCCGGCCGGGCACTAGGGCCCACTCCATCTCTCTAGGACCTGGGATCACAGGTTACAGGTGGGACCATTTTGGAAAGGGGCAGTTATGTCCACCCAAGGTCTGCTGGGTCCTAGAGACCCAGGGAATTCTGAGGGGAGGGGCCTTGGAGAGGTCCTTGTGCCCCCTACTAAGCTGCCGAGTCTGGACCCTGCCAGGCGGAGTGTCCTGCCCACAATGGGGGTGGAAGGATGTGACCTGCCCTGCCTTCTCAGAGGAGGAAATGTCAGCTCAGAAAAAGTCTTAGAAACCTCTCCAAAGTCACTCAGCCAGTGGGCGCTTCAGCTGTGACGGATTGGCGCTTCAGCTGGGATTGGAACCTGGCTCTGGAGAGGACTCAACTCTAGGCCCTGGCTTCAGGACAGAGCCCAGCAGAGGGTCCAAACACACCCCCACTGGATCAGTCGTAGGCCACAGGAGCGTGTCAGCAAATATTTATTAAGCAAGTACCGTGCACCAGGCACCATCCTAGATATGGGGCTACAGCAGTGAGCAAGGCCCTGCCCACAAGGGGCTCACACTGCAGCTGGGGACAGACACTAAACCAGGATCAAATCAATGGTTGTCAGCTTCTGAAGGCACTAAAGAGATGAGGGAAGCCTCGCATGGCTGAGGAGGAGGACTGCTTTAGCTAAGGTTGTCGGGGAAGGCCCCTCTGGCAAGGTGCCATCTTGTTTGAGGCTAGAATGCAGAAAAGGAGCTGTGGGGAGATCTAAGGGAGAGGCTTCCAGGCAGAGGGAACAGCTAGTACAAAGGTCCAGAGACTAGAATGAGGTTGGCATTTTGAGGGACAAAAAGAATCTTGTATTAGAACATAGTGAGCAATGGGGAGAGTGATACGAGAGGCAGCCAGAGCGACAGGCAATTTGGGGTTTTGAGGAAGCCACTGGAAGGTTTGAAACAGGAGAGTGGCACCATCTGATTTATGGTGAAAAGATCCCTCTGGCTACTGTGGGAGGAGGGACACAGGGGCCAGAGTGACCAAGACACACAGAGGGAGGCTCATGCTGCCAACTGGTGAGAGAGGCTGGCTCCAGGTGCTGTGCAGGAGTTGGGAGAGGGCTGGCCAGGCTCAGGATCCAGGATGAACCAGACTGGCCAGTGGCTGCACTGTGGGTGTGAGGGAAGGAGAAGAACCTCCAACAGCTCCCAGGTTTGGGGCCTGAGCAACCGGGTAGATGTTCGTGCCATTTCCTGAGGCTCAGAGGAGGTGGATCTGAGAGGCCTGACATGGATATCAAGTGTGAGGTCAGATGTGCCAGGAGAGATGTGACCAGGCTGGAAGATGAAGGCGACTGAGGCCAGGGTGGGGTTTGGGAGAAGTGGGAGCTGGGTCAGAAGAGACAGTAGCATTTCCATGGTACTTACAGCCTGAGGACTAGAACTTGGAAATAAAATAGAAGAGACGGGACCAAAGGCCTGAGCTCTGTGCCCGCTGACCTTTAAAGGCCCCCAAGGAGACAACGGAGCAGCCAGTGAGTGGGGGAGAAAATTTGGGCTGTGGGCTATGGGCTGTTTCCAGAGGAAGGGGTGGTCAGAGGGGTCCCTGGCTGGTGAGAGGGAGGGTAAGATGAAGACAGAGAACTGACCACCAGCTTTGGCGAGAGGGGGCATTGGTGACCAGGGAAGAGCCATTCCCGGGGAATGCAGGCACAAAGACCAAGTAGAGTGGACAGAGGAGAGAATCTGAGATGAGGAAGTGGGGAGAAGCGAGTCCATGGAATTTTGCTGGGCACAGGGACAAAAGGATCCAGGAAAACAGGTATGCACAGGCGGAGCCAGACACACACTGTCACATACAGGAACAGAAGTTTATACAGGCATTTTCTCACACATGAGGTCAGACACACACAGGGACTGACCAAGTGCCCTGTGCCGCTGGCATCCCTTCACACACAAGGACCCACTGACTCCTGTCTGTTAAACACAACCACACACTGGCAGGAGGTCCTACTGGGCACAGATGGACCCAGATTTCCTGGAGTCCCCTCACCCTGTGACAGGGAGCAGTGGGGGTGAGGACGGGACATGGGGAAAGGGTCTTGGGGCCAGTTGGGCAGGTTTTAACAGTGTGTTCTGGAAGGGACATCCACACTGGGTGGGCTGTGGCTGGGACTGAGGCCTGTGGGCTAAGGTAAGTGGTGGCCATGCCCCTGGAGTTCCCCCCACCCCCCGCCTGCCAATCGGGAAGGAAAGGAGGGAGCAGCCCGAGGTATGGGAGAGGTGTCTTCCCTGCAAGGGCTGGACTAGCCTCCCCCACGATGGGTATCAGCACTCGCTGGGGAGGGCTGTGACAGGCACCAAGCCCAAACAGGGAGCAGGGAGGAGAGCAGAGATGCTAGAGGAAGCCCTTGCCACCTTCCCCCACCTCCTGAAGTGACCTGGGTCTCACAGAGCCAGACTGCCACCCCACCACCACCAGCCTTGGTCCTGCTTCCTCCTAAAGTTTGCTGGGGTGACCTGGCCTTCTGGGGGTTAGGGATCAGGGGCCCATCTGGGCTCTCAGAGAAGGGAAGTCACAGTGTATTCCACACCCCACATCCTGGCCCAGCCAGGCCTCCATGCCCTGCTCTCTCTGGCCACCATACCCAGGAAGTGAGGCCTGGCAGACCAGCCATGGCCCTGGGGAGGGGACTGGCTCTCAGAGACCTGGGTTAATATTTGTTGACTGACTAACTGATTGACTAAGTTTGAAAGCCCAGCCTGCTGAGCAGTGGGGTGTGGCCTACAGGGCGGGAGCTGGGATTGGGTTACAGAGGAGGGGGGGCAGTTGGCAGAGCCTGGCCCTGTGCCAGGCCCAGCACTGCCCGCAGGCAGGGCGAAGGCGCAAGCAGTTTCCAGCAGGTAGGCCTGGTGGTGAGGGGGCACAGGGCACAGCTGGGCAGGGAGGGGGCTCAGGGAACCGGGTGGTGAGGGGCTGTTCCGAGTCACAGGTGTACAGCATGGGTCACAGGGCTCAGGGTTGCCGAGGAGCTGGCAGAATTGGGGAGGCAGTGAGCAGCCCAACAAGTGAGAACACCGGTGGGGGCAGGGAGGCTGCAGGCGGAGCGACCCACGAGGAAGAAAGGGGGTGATTTTGTATTCGGGGTCTCTGTCACCCACAGAGTCGGTACACCTGGGGCCCAGGCCCTGCCCTTCCTCCTCCCTGCCGGAGTGCTGCTCCTGGCTTCCTGGGAGTGGGGCAAAGTAACCTCAGGGTCCGCCCCACACAGGTACCTCGGGAGGAGGAAGCTGTGCACCTGGGCGAGGAGAAAGGGGCGCCAGGGGAGGGAAGGGCCCCTGGGTAGAGGAGGGGTGCGTGGAGAAAGGAGAGGTGTCTGGAGAAGGAAGGGAGTGCCTGGTGAGAGGAGAACCCAGAAGAAAGAAGAGGGGCCAGGGGAGAGAGGGTGCACTGAGGGAGGACAGGGGTGCGGGGTGGGGAGGTGCCCTGGGAAAAGGATGAGACACTGGGGGAGAGAAAGGGGTGTCTGGAAGAGGACGGTGGCATGCCGGGTCAGGGAGAGGTGGGGAGTGGCGGTCAGAAGAGAGAAGTGGCTGTTGGGGAGGGAAGATGCATGGGAGGAGGAAGGGAGTGGCCAGTGGGGAAAGAAGAGCGCCTAGGAAAGGAGGGGGCACCAGGGAGAGAAGGGTATGTCAGAGGAGGAACTGGGCATCTGGGAGAGAAAGGAGGCCTCCTGGGTGGAGGGAGCAAGCCCCCAGGGAAAAGAAAGGGGCTCCCAGTAGGGAGAGGACACAGGTGGGGGGGTCCCCACTCACTCAGGGTAGGTGATGGAAGGGAGTTCCCCAGGGAAAAGAGGGGACATCCATGGGTGGGAGGGCTTGGGGGGGTTAGAGGGGGTGCTCTGGGGAAGGAAGAGGCCCCCTGAGGGAGAAAGGGACTGCCTGGGGGAAAGAAGAGGTGCGGGGAGAGAGGGGGCCCCTACCCTTTGAGCATTCCTTCCCCCATCCCCCCAGAACCCAACTGGAAGACAGGTTACATGGAGATGAGGCCTCAGGCCCTGGGAGCCTGAGAGTTTGGCTCCTCAGCTGGACCTGGGTATGGGGGCACCCTCCCAGCGCCCTGGGGTTGATGTTGTCCCTGCCCAGTGAAACCAGCACAGTCCCAACTTTCCGGCCACCAGTTTGATTTTCCTGCCCCACATGGGGCCCCGGTGACCACTGTGCTGAGGCTAGCCAGTCTTCCTGCCACTCTGTTGCTGTTTCCTACAGCCCATAGTTTGTACCTCTGGTCACTGCCTGCCTTTTCCCCGGTCACCGTCACTGGCCACTGCTTCTGCCTGTCACCACCGAATGTCTATGCCTGTCACTCAGTATCATCACGTTTTCTCATGTCACTGTCACACCAACAGGCCATCAACTGCAACAGCAGTTCTGGGTGCAGTTAGAGCGCTAGGTGACTCCTTTCTTCATCCATTTTCACTCAGTCGAGTCTTGGGCAGGCGACAGGCTTCATTCCTTCAAGAACTATTTGCTGAGTACCTGCTGGGTGTTGGGCAGCTGGGAGCCGGCGGTAATCAAGAGACAAGGCCCTGGCCTCGGGGATCCTCTGCTCTAGTGAAGGAGACCATACCAACAGCATACGTGGTCTCCAGAACATGCTCAGAGGGGCCACACCTCACAGCTCTAAACCCCAGCAGGACCACCCCCTCTGCCTACCCTGCTCTGGGCAGCTCCCTCCCCCGCTCTCCTGCCCGCCCCCTCCCCTTACATGGCCACCTTGGCCCTCTTTGAGAGGGTTGAGTGTTTCCCACAGCATACTGTGAGCTCACCAGGGCCCGAGCCCAGCCCTCAGGGGCCCTAGACAAAGGTGTAAGGAATGTGGGCCACTGTGTCACTTGTCACACTATGCCTTTGATTCTGTAACTCTGTATCTCCCCTCCCACCTTGTTTCCCCTTGGTCATACAGGGCCAGTAAAGCCAAGGGTGTTCCTACTGCTGATAAGACACAATTGGAATGGAGTGGGGAGGGGAGAGGAGTTAACACCACACCAGAGCCTCTAGGAATGAGACATCAGAAAGAAGTGACTTCTGGGTCTATTGAGCAAAGCAGCAGCAAGAAGAAAAAGTTGCAACTGGCAAGATTTAGGTTAGATGTAGAAAGAACTTACATGGATGAAGGAAAGATCAAACCTCACACAGAGGTTTCTGAAGGAGTGGTGTAGGGAAGCCTGGGGTAGTTGAGAGTCACCTGCCAAGATGTAACAAAATCGAGAGTCCCCTCTTCCCCAAATACTTGTCCTTCCATGCTGCTTTCTCTTCTGTGCACAGTGAGAACCACAGAGCACAAACTCAAGAGAGCCAAGTTGCTGTTTGCAGAGACTGTGTGTATTAAGAGTTCAGTTCTGTTTCAAGAATTTGAGTGCTTGTGCCTGATTTGTCTAACCACCCAGGTTAGCTAAGCCTGTCACTTGCTGCAGAGTCTGTCACAGTCTTCAGAGACAGTCCTTGCGTGCAGAGTCTGTCCTGGGTTTGCAGAACCTTTGTCTTATCTACAGAGCCTGTTTCTGTCCTGAGCCTGTGTCTATTTTCAGAGTCTGTCTTTTTCAGAACCTGGTTTTTTTTTTTAAACAGTCTGTCTCTGTTTCCCTGTGTATAAGATTTGCTTTTATGCAAGCTGCCCTGCGTGCAGAGCCTATCCCTGTCTACAGAGCTTGTCTGGTGTCCTTGTCTGGGACACCTTTCTGCCCGAAGACAGTTCCTATTTGCAAAGCTTTATTTATGGTAACCGTCCCTGTCAGCAGAACCTGTTTCCTCTGCAGTAGGTGCCTGTGTCTGTAGACCATGTCCCTGTTTGCAGAGTCTTTTCCTATTTCAGAGCCTGGTTCTGTCTGCAGAACCTGAGCCCTATGTGTAGAGTCTATGACATTTTTCAGGGCCTTGTCTGTTTGCACAGCCTATCTGAATTTCCCTGGATAGATACTGTGTCTGCTTGCAGGATCTATTCCTGTGAAGAGTTTATCACTCTCAGGGGTCGCTGTGTCTATCTGGAAGTACCTGTGTCTTTCTGCAGAGCACATCCTTGTTTCCAGAACCTATGCCTATCTGCATATTTTATCCCTAATTCCATATGTACCTGTTAGCAGAGCCTGTCCCTGTTTACAGAGCCTTTATCTGTTTCCAGCACTCATCCTTTTCTATAAAGCCTGTCCCTGTTTTACAGAACCCAGGCTTTCTACAGAACCCAGCCCTGTCTCAAGATCTTACCCATGTCTAGGGCATCTGTGCTTGAACATGAAGCTGATTTCTACGCCAGCTCATTTCAGCAAATCCTACACTCTCTGAAGAAGCTGTCACTGTTAAGAGAGCCTGTCTGTTTGCAGAGCCTGTGTAGGCTTACAAAACCTCTCTCCCTAGCTGCAAAGTCTCTGTCTATAGAACCTCTGTCTGCAAAGCCTGTGTCTTTTATCAGAGTCTGGATCTCTTTTCAGGGCTCATGATTGTTTGCCCAACCTGTTCCCAACTCCCTGTATGCAGGATTTGAGTCTGTTTCCCGAGGCTGTCCCTGCATGCAGAACCTGACCATACCTAGAGAACTTTTGCCTGTTTCAAGAGCCTGCCTCTAACTGGAAAGCATTTTTCTAACTGAAGATGCTGTGCCCATTTGCAGAGCCTTGCCTATCAATGTACCTGTCTCTGTATCTGCAAAGAGTCCCTTAAGGGTTTGTCTCCATCCACATGTGCAAAGCCTTTCCCAGTCTGCCAAGTTCTCCATACCTGCAAAACCTGTGACTGTTTGCAGTCTTTTTCAGTGTTCGCTTTTGCTCATTTTCCCAGCCTGTCTGAATTTCCCTGGGTAGAGTCTGTGTCTGTTTGCACAGGCTGTCCTTATACACACAGATAGACCCTGTCTACAGAACTCATTTTTGTCAGGAGAACCTGTGCCTGTTGCATCCCTTTCTTCAGTCTGAGGAAGCTGTCCCTGTTTGCAGAGCCTATGCTTGTATGGAGAGCCTTTCTCTAGCCATATAGCCTATCATTCTCTGCAGGTGCTAGATCTCTGCATAGCCATTCCTGACTGTCTGGAAGACCTATGCTTATTTGCAGCTCTGTCCTTGTGTGCAGAGCCTGTCTTTGTCTACAGGATTCAGTCTCATTTCAAGAGGCTGTCCCTGTTTGCAGAGTCTGTCCCTGCCTGCAGAAACTCTTGCTAGCAGAGCCTCTGCCTGTCTGCATACCCTATCACTGTCTACAGTGACTGTCCCTGACTGCAGATCCTGTGTCTGTCTGCACAGCCTATTTCTAACTCCCTGTCTGTTGGCAGAGGTTGTCCCTATGTTCAAAGCCTGTCCCTGTCCACAGAGCTCAGCTGTTTCCAGAGCACAACCACAGATGACAAAACAGGTCCCTGTTTGTAAAGCCTGTGTGCTGATGTCTGCAGCATCTGTCCTGGTTTGCTGGCATTTGTGTTTCCACAGCCCTCCTAATGAAAGGCACATTCTATGATGAAGGTGCTTTGGAGAGCTGTAGGTGGGAAGAGTTCTTGCTTGAAGCCCAGAGTACAGGTGGCCAGGGCCTGAGAACTCTGGCTCTTGTTGTTTCCTCTCTCTGTCCTGCCTGGCCTAGGATGGACATCAACAAGGGCCTCCCAGCCATCCAGAGCCATAAAGACCTCCACGTATGGATCATTGAGGTGAGGGGCATGACCAGACAGTAGAGTTGGTGTTTAGTCTCTGAGATTAGGCTTCTTCCACACTCCCCCCACCTCAGAGTTCCCTCCCTCACCCCACCCCAGAGGGTCATGGGGGGATGGGGAGGTCTCCTGAGTTGTCACTAGACACTCTCCTTTCCCAGAACCTGAAGATGGTGCCAGTACCGGAGAGGGCTTATGGGAACTTCTTTGAGGAACACTGCTACATCGTCCTCCACGTGAGCACCTGGGGAGTCTGTCTGAGGGGGTGTCATGGCCCAGCTGGGGAGTCTGATGGTGTAGACTAAGCTCTGCCCTGGGAACAGGCAGGCTGGGAGCCCAAGAATCGCATGCCACAAGGGGCTGCAGCCTTGGAGGCCTCTTGGCCCTTCCCTCCCCATTCTCCATCTCCTGCTTATGGAACACCTGCCCAGTCTCCACAAGGCCCTTGGTACATCCTTGACCTGGAGCCTTAGCCCTCTCCCCCGACCCGACACACATACACACCTGGGTCCTAGGTCCCCCAGAGCCTGAAGGCCACACAGCGGGTGTCCAACGACCTGCATTACTGGGTCGGGAAGCAGGCAGGTGCGGACGCGCAAGGTGCGGCGGAGACCTTTGTGCAGCATCTACAGGAGGCGCTGCATGACGCCCCCGTGCAGCACCGGGAGGCGCAGGAGCACGAGTCTGACTGTTTCCGCAGCTACTTCCGCCCTGGAATCATGTGAGTGATGCAACGAGGGACAGAACCGTGGGGTGGCTGGGCCGCCTGGGGTGGGTCTTTCCCTTATCTCTGGTGTGTGGGTTGTTTTGAGGGAGGAGATAACACCTTTATTGAGATACAAAGCAGGGATCATACAACCTACCGACTTAAACACACAGTTCAGTGATTTAGTATATTTACAGACTTGTGCAACCATCACCACAATTTTAGAAGATTTCCATCACCCCACAAAGAAGGCCAAAACCCTTTAGCAGGCATTCTCAGTCTCCCACAACACTCCCTTCCCCCAGTCTATATAGATTTGCCTGTTTGGGACATTTCATATAAATGGAATTATACACACATGATGTATGGATGTACCACATTTTATTTATATATTCATCACTTAATGGACATTTGGGTTGTCTCCACTTTTTAGTTGTTATGAATAATGCTATTATTAATATTTGTATACAAGTTCTTGGTTTTTTTCCAGTCTTATTGAGATGTAATTGACATACGTCACTGTGTACGTTTAAGGTACGCAGCATGATGGTTTGACTTACATATATTGTGAAATGATTATAGCGGTAACTTTAGTTAACATCTATGTTAACATATGGACATATATTTTTCATTTCTCTTTGGTATATATCCAGGAGTGGACACCAATGTTGTTTTGAGTCTGCTTTTATGTTACTGTGCCAAGTAGAAATATGTCTTTTGCTGTAAATTGCTTCAAAAATTTATTGAATTAATAACTGCAATATAGTAGGTTGAACCATAGGAAACTGCCAATATTCAATCATCTGTTTCATAGAGGTGAACCTAATATACGCATATGGTGTTACATGAACACATGCACACATGTATACACACACACACAGAAAAAACACAGCACCCCTATATGTGTCCACCTGCAGATGGGCATATCTACACACATATGTGCACATCCCTGCCCACCTACACTCATATATGCTGTTGCCCAAATTCTATGCACTCACATCTTTACTCACATGGATAAACAGAAACACTTATGCCCCACTTGTATTAAAGGTGCATGTGCCTGTATCTACATCTAAACACATGGATAAACAGATATATACTATGCCCCCACTGTATACATGTACCTAAATGTGCATGTGTCCACATAGCTACACACGGATAAACAAATGCACCCTCCTGCCCTCACATGTGTACCCCTGTGCTTGCGTGTTCATATCTACATGCATACATGTATTAAACAGGCACATGCATATCCCTACATGTATGCGTGCATGAGCTCACACCTGCACTCACTCCTGCACATGGCAGTGTGTGGTTTTATGTGAGACCCCATTCCCTCCTCAGCTACAGGAAGGGAGGCCTAGCCTGTGGCCTCAAGCACGTGGAGACCGACATGTACAACATCCAGCGACTGCTGCACATCCAAGGGAGGAAGCACGTGTCAGCCACCGAGGTGAGGGCTGCCAGGGTGCCACTTGACCTCTGGACTCAGCTCAGACTGCATGTACTGAAGAATAGGGAAAGGTAGGGGGAGACGGGGGAGTAGGGGGTACATGGGCTATCAGCATTCCCAGATGGCCTGTCTTGAAGGAGGAGAGAGAAGGCAGAGCCAGGCTTCTAGCTCCACCCCCACGATGGCTCCTCTGACCCTCTGTTTCCTCGTCTGTCTCATGGGTGTATTAAGAACTTGGGGAGGTGTGGCAGACAAGAAGGTACACTTGGCTGGTCCTTGTAAGCAGCACAATGGGAAGGAGCATGGTTTGGGGTGGGATGTGCACAGCCCCACACTCTCATACACATTGTCATTATCACCCATAGGCCGCACACACTGTCTCCCACTGTTGCCCCTGGGGCCACTCTAGTCCACAGAATGCCCTTGTGCAAATTAGAACAGAGTGCCCCTTACTTCCACCTGTCAGGAGATTAATGGAAAACACTGATTTTGTTAGAACGAGACATTTTGCTGCCATCTGGCAGGAGTTTGGTGTAATGAACATTCAGGTGTTTGATGTCTCCAATGTGAATGGTGACACCTGAGTTGTGCCTGTTACTGTCTACAAGGTATGTGGCAGCCCTGTGACTCACAGAGAGTCCTATACAGGCTCACTCACTGTCACCCACAAATTCAGTGACCATACATCCCTGGTCATGCAAGGACATCATGTAGCCCCAGGTTTTGCCTGTTCTCTTGGCATAATTATTTAGAGTCCCCCCTTTTAGTCTCAAAAGTCTGTTTGAGTGATAACTATCCCAGTCCATGGATGACACACTGTCCCCCACACAGGCACACATACACTGTCACCCATGAGCTCACACAGCTGTTCACATTTGATGTGCCCCCCACATATGTACACATGTACACACACACATCCGCACACATGGATAAACAGATACATAAGCCCCACTTGTATACACGTGTACAGCTACAGACATGCTTTGAGTGAAAAAGGTCATATTCAGTCATGTACACCCTGTGAAAGGCAGCATTACCTACAGTCCCACATGCCTAGAGATGTACACAGCCACACCCACAGTGACCCTCAAGGTCTCATACAGTTACAGAGATGCATGCCCACACACCATAATAGTGGTGTTGTGGTCACACATACTCCCAATTGCACACAGCTTCATGCACACAAGTGACACACTCGAGCTATGCTCACCTAGGCGGGACAGGCTGTGGTACCCCTCCACCTGGGTGCTGGTAGTAAAACACCTGTCTCCCTCCTTGCCCCTCCTGGCTCTGGCAGGTGGAGCTCTCCTGGAACAGCTTTAACGAGGGTGACATCTTCCTGCTGGACCTGGGGAAGGTGATGATCCAGTGGAACGGGCCCAAGACCAGCATTGCTGAGAAGGCGCGGGTCAGTGTCTGCCCTAGGAACCAAGGGGTGCAGAGCTCGGGGAGAGGAGTGGTCCTCCAGGTGCCCATCCTCCAGCCACCTGAAGAGGTGGGCTTGGCTCTCTGCTACAACCTGAGAAGTACCTAATGGGTGCAAGCTGAGTCCAGACCCTGCACTGGTGGTGCCCGTGGATGCCAGGAAAAGGGGACACCTCCCCCTGCCCCCAGGCTCTGGGAGCTGAGCACTGACAGGAAGGATCTGGGATGGACTGTCTGAGGGGTAAGGGAGGCATGCTGGGGAAGCCCGACTGCCAGGTCCTCTCCTGCAGGGCCTGGCCTTGACCTGCAGCCTCCAGGACAGGGAGCGTGGTGGTCGTGCACAGATCGGTGTGGTGGATGATGAGGTCGAAGCCACTGACCTCATGCAGATCATGGAAGCTGTGCTGGGCTGCAGAGTGGGCAACCTGCACACAGCCATGCCCGACAAGAGTATTAACCAGCTGCAGAAGGCCAATGTCCGCCTCTACCAGTGAGCAGACCTTGGGAGTGGGCAGGGTGGGTGGAATAGCCTAGGCCTGCATGTCCATCATTACTGCAATAACACAGTGTTTGTAGAAAGCCCTCCAGTAAAGGCTTGTGGGTTTCTGGGGCAGGCCATGTGGGACCTTGGGCCCAGCCTGTACTCTTGCATGGCTGTCTTTCTGAGAAACCCATTGTATAGACAGGAGGACTGAGGCCCTGTCAGGGCCAGGGATTGCCTAAGGCTCCACAGCAAGGCAGCAGTCAACTCAAGACCTCAACTCAGGGCCCCAGCCCCCATGCCCTCTGCCATGTGGGGAGGGGCGGGGGACATGGGGGCTAGAGTGGAAGGGAAGCTAGGGAGGGGCTGAACTGACCACATCTGGATGCCTGTCCCCCAGTGTCTACGAGAAGGGCAAGGACCTGGTGGTCCAGGAGTTGGCGACCTCCCCACTGACCCAAGACCTACTGCAGGAGGAGGTGAGGCAGGCTGGGCCCCAGCCCCCTATCCATCCCCACCCACCCCACAACCTCAACTCCATCTGGACCACCTACTGAGCAGCCCCACTCTTGCTCCTAGGACTGCTACATCCTGGACCAGGGTGGTTTCAAGATCTACGTGTGGCAGGGACGCACATCCAGCCTCCAGGAGAAAAAGGCTGCCTTCACTCGGGCTCTGGTGAGGCTGTGGGGCCCTGTCTCAGAGGGACGTAGAGCTGCCTGGGGTTTGAAGTGGGAGGCAGGCCTGCCCTGGGGTCTGAGGGAAGAAATGGCTCTACTCTTAAGACTAAGCTGAGAGACATCTATGTCCTGCGGTCTGAAAGGGGAGGGAGTCCTGCCCCAGGGCTAGGAGATGAATACATCCTGCCCTGGGAGGCCTGTCTGATGGAGGAGGACATGACCCTGCCCTCGGGTCCCAAGCCTGGAGACAAACCGCCCAATCTGAGGGAGGAGACACAGCTCTGCCCAGGCATATGACGGGGAACGTAGGGCCCCTCTCTGGGATCAGGGCCATGCGGCCTGCCCTGGGCACTTTGAGTGGGGGGGAAGAGCAGATAGCACCTAAGAAACCTTGTGTAAAAGGGGGAGGCGGTCCTGCCTTGAGGTCTGAGGAGCCTACAGCACTGGGCGCCCCATCCTTTCAGAGGAAGGGAGACGGGGCTCTGCCTGGGGTCTGACGGTTGTCATGGCCGGCCCTTCCCGAGGCCCGGACTAAGGGGACCTGGCCTGTCCTCAGGGACCTCAGAGAAGTGGGTAGTGACGGAGCTAGCTCCTTCAGCGGGTCATGAGTTTGGTTAATTAACAAGGCTCCGGGCTCCACTGGCCCTGCAGCCCGAGCAGCAGGTCCCGCGGGTGCAGCGGAGCAGTGGGCCCTCGGGCCGCTCGCCTGACAGAGCCCCCGCCCCAGGGCTTCATCCAGGCCAAGGGCTACCCGGCCCACACCAACGTGGAGGTGGTGAACGACGGCGCCGAGTCGGCCGCCTTCAAGCAGCTCTTCCGGACGTGGTCTAACGAACAACGCAGGAACAACCCCGGAGGGATGGGTGAGCGAGCAGGGCGGGGCCTGTGGGGGCTGCACCCAGAACAAGGGAGGGATGGGTGAGCGGACGGGGCGGGGCCTGCGGAGCGGGGCCTGTGGGGGCGGTACCCAGAACCCCGGAGGGATGGGTGAGCGGACGGGGCGGGGCCGAGCCTGCGGGGGCGGGGCGGGGTCTGCGGAGGAGGCACCGAGAACCCAGGGGGATGGGTGAGCGGACGGGGTGGAGCCGAGCCTGCGGGGGCGGGGCGGCACGCAGAGCCTCCGCGGAATGGGCGAGGGGGCGTGGCCGAAGGAGGCTTCTTGAGTGATGGGTGGGGCAGGGTTGGCGGGGGCGGAGGTTGGGACAAGGGCAGAGGGCGCCAGAGGCACCGTCTATCCCACCCTCAGGTAAAGGGATTCAGGTAAAGCCGGACGTGGGCAAACTGCGCAGCCAGCCTGAGCTAGCGGCTCAGCTCAGAATGGTGGATGACGGCTCCGGGAAGGTGGAGGTGAGGGGTACTGCCTTAGCTGGGGGAAGTGGGCACACAGGGGTAGGCTTTGTCTTCAGGTGAACGGTATAGCCACTAAAGTGACCCAGGTACACCCAGGTGCACATCTACACACACTCAAGGACACCTAGGGGTATGTGTACATATACAAACACCCTCCCCACAGCCCGCTCATACACATCACACCGAATCAATTATACACAGCCATTGCCTCTCGCTCATATAACACTCATGGCATACAGCACAGTAACGCTCAGATGCTTAATTGTGCCCTTCTGTCATATGTATAACACAGTCATACATATGATAATAGAGACACACCTACTCACACTTTCTAACTGCACTTAATCACAGCCAAGTACACAATTGCAAGCATGTAATTGCACAAACTTTGCATCACACATGATCACAGTCCCATACAACCATCAACCCACAGAGACAGACCAACACAAATACACAGTCACATATAACCAGTCACAGCCCCACACACCCAACCCCCAACACACAGTCATGCACTGTCAGCCATCCATCTGCTTTCAGACCAGTATTCTGGGAGATGCAGGAGGTGGGGGCCACCTCTGGGCTCTGTATGGGGCTGGGTTCATCTTGACTTGTTGGCAGGGCCCTTAATTCCTTTGGGCTTCAGTTTTTTATCTATCAAATGGGGGCAAGAACTGTGGTCCCATTGGGTCCCACACTGGTGTGAAGATGCTGTGAGATTCTGGGAATGGGACTGCTGGGCCTGTGTGAGGGGTTCTAGTTCTCAAGATAGGTCGAGGTCAGAGAAAACACCATTTGTCCAAGGCTTCCTCCTTCATTTGCCCTGATATGGTTGGACAGAGGCCGTTAGTGAAGAGAGATGAGATAGGAGGAGACAGGGCAAGGAGAGGGGTAGAGAGGGGAGCAAGGAGAAAGGAAGACAGGGAGAGGGGACAGGGAGAGACAGAGAGAAGAGGAGACTGAGAGAGAAAGAGACAGAGAATGGGGGGTAGATGGGATGAAATGCAGGGAGAGATGCAAGCATGGGCAGAGGAGAAAGGGGGGATCCAGGAGAGATGGGGCCGACAGGGAGCTAGAGAGAGGGATAGAGGAAGACAGAGGAGGGCAGGGGAGGAAAGAGAGGGGGCTCTGCCACTCAGGCCCCAGGCACAAAGGCAGGGAGGGGACTCCTCTCAGCAGGCCAGTGGACAGGCAGGTGTGGCAGGGAGTGGCAGTGGTATGGTTGGGAGGCCTGGCTGCCAGGTGAGTGCCGCTCCTGAGTGGCGTGTGGTTATAGTCAGCCTCTTCTGCAAAAGGCAGGATTCTGGATGCTCTGGTCTGGAGCAGACCTTCTCAGAGACAGCTGTCAGTTCTGTGTAGGCCCAGGATGCCCAAGCATTGTTTCCTGCCATGTCGAAGTGGGTGTTTTATCCCCACTTTAACAGGTGGGGAAAACTGTGACTCAGAAAGGTCTCTCGGCCAACATGGGGCTGACCTGGCATTTGGCCGGGTCTGCCTGGCTCCAGAGCCCGTGCTCACTACCCACAGGAACAAGACATCACACTGTTAAGCATGAGGAAGTGTTTTCCTTTCCGTCTGTGAACAGGCTTTGTTTTTTTAAGTGACATTTGAAAAAAGGGAATTTTTCCAAGAGCCCTGAGGCCTTGCTTCTGGCCAGCTTCTGCTGCTCTGGCCTGAGCACTGAGCAGCCATGCCAGGACCTGACTGCCCCTAACCTCGGCTGTGACTGGTGGGGTCAGGCTGGGCATGGTGTGTGGCAGGAGTCAGGTCCGCCCCGGCAGCCTCTGGAGTCCTCACCACTCATTTGTCCCAGGCACCACACGCCAACTCAGAGTCCTGGCCGAGAGCAGGCTGGCACAAGTGTCGTGGTCCCAGGGGCCCATGAGGGAAAGGGTCACCTGCAGATCCTTCCACAAGCCCAGCACAGAGTGTGGGGTGGGCGCACTGCTGGAGGCGAGCCCCTTGCCTGCAGAGATGAGGCATGCCTCAAGGCTGGGCACAGGGAGGCTGGTTCAGGTGGAGGAGCCACCAGTGCCCACTTGCCCCCTGTTCCCCAGATGTGGTGCATCCAGGACTCGTGCAGGCAGCCCATGGATCCCAAGCATCATGGACAGCTGTGTGCAGACAGCTGCTACCTTGTACTCTACGCATACCAGAACATGGGCCGTGTCCAGTACATGCTGTACCTATGGCAGGTGCGCCGACCTGAGGAGGGTGGTGGGTGCCTTCAAGCCCCAGAGCTAAGGATCTGAGAATGGGATCTAAGAGCTGCGCCAGGCCCTCACCACCCCCGCCTGCAGGGCCCCCAGGCCAGCGCACATGAGATAAAGGCCCTGAACTGCAACGCTGAGGAGCTGGACCTCATGTACCACGGAGCCCTGGTGCAGGAGCACGTGACCATGGGCAGTGAGCCCCCCCACTTCCTTGCCATCCTCAAGGGCCAGCTGGTGGTCTTCCAGGTAGGGCCCACCTTGCTGCTGTGGCCACAGCCTCACTGGCTCCTCCAAGTGCCCGTGCCCCTTACACATACATGCTGAGCACCTTCTCTTCAGGCCAGGGACCCAGCTTACCAACCCCTGGGTTCCTAGTGCTTGTCTGAGGCCCAGGAGCTCCAAGGGTGACCCCTGCCTGAGTTTCTTCTCCTGGTCCCCAGAGCCAGCCACAAAGCAGGAGACAGGTGAAGAAGTTGAATTGAAAGGGAGCCAGGGCCTTGCCTGGGGTCACAGACAGGCAAAGCCAGCCCCCACTTTCCACCTTCAAGGCCTGAGGGAGCTATGCCCTGACTCCTCAGGGATGGGGTGAAGAGTCCATTTAGAAAGGGCCTGGTTCCCTATCCTAGACTGATGGGGTCCTCACACTCTACACTCAGAGGGTCCAGAAAACAGTGGTGCCTTTAATGAGGGTCCCCACTGGGACAGGGAGGTGGCCCCCAGGAGCCCTTGTCTCAGTCTGAGGCCCAGCCCTTTTGTAGGGGGACACAGGGCACAATGAGAAGGGGCAGCCGGCATCCACCACGAGGCTCTTCCAGGTGCAAGGCACCGACAGCTACAACACCAGGACCATGGAGGTGCCAGCCCGTGCCTCAGCCCTCAACTCCAGCGACATCTTCTTGCTGGTCACACCTGACATCTGCTACCTCTGGTTTGGGAAGGTACCTCAACACTGACCACTCAGGCAGTGGTGCCAGGCAGGGATGGGTCCACTCCACAGGGGCTGTAGACTTCAAGTCCAGCCTCACACAGGCCAGGAGAGGGGCAGGAGGAGAGGCCACAATGTTCCCTCTGGAACCTGGGGGAAGTTACAAAGTGACAGGTGAGCCTGGGAGTCCACAGGCCAGAGCTGGGCTAGACCTAGACTGCCTCCCTTCCTTTCGGCCTTGAGCAGGGAGCACACCCCTTCGTAAGTCTCTCAGGAAAAGAAAGAGGCCTAGTCCAGTTTGCCAGAGTTTTCTCTGATCTTCAGCATAAACCATGAATGATCCCTAAGCCAAGGAGTCCCCATCCTGTGCTCTGGACCTGGAGAGGGTCCCAGTCCTTGTGACCCTTATCAGTTGGGGAAAGGGAGGCCAGGAGGGGGAGGAAGAGAGATCCCTTGCTCATTTGTGCCCTGCCATCAGCCTAGGCCTCCTGTGACTCAGGCCCAGCTCCCCGCAGGCCTCTGTGAATCAGGGATGTGGGGCTGGAGGTGGAGACCCCTCCCCATGCAGGGCCTGACCCAGCTCTTTGCCTGCCAGGGCTGTAGCGGTGACCAGCGTGAGATGGCACGGATGGTGGTCACTGTCATCTCCAGGAAGAATGAGGAAACGGTGCTAGAGGGTCAGGAGCCTCCCCACTTCTGGGAGGCCCTGGGAGGCCGGGCTCCCTACCCCAGCAACAAGAGGTGACAGGGCTGGGAAAAGGGTATTCTCCTTACACAGAGGCAGAAACTGAGGCCCAACGAGAGTGGGTGACTAATTCAGGGTCACACAAAAATCTGAAGAGGCCAGACTAGAACTGAAGACTCTTGGCTGCCCTTCCCCAGGGCTCCTAGGAGCACAGCGCCCCAACTTCAGTCCCCAGCCCTGGATAATTTGGATCACGAAGATGCCAGGGAGAGTGGTGCAGTGGCGCCCTCTGCTGGCTGAATGTGCTCCTTGCATTGTCCCAGTTCTGAACCATCCCACTGGCAGAGGCTCCCCAACCCTAGTCCCTAGGGGTGGTGGTGCCCAGTGTGTGTGTGTAGTATAATATGACACGTGGCTAAACAGTGTGTGTGGAGTGTGCAAGAACTGTGTATGTGTGTGGTCTCTAAGTGGACCAGGGTGTGTATCCAAGGATAGGGCAGAGTGAGGCCTCCAAGGGAGGAGGGAGCTCTGCCTGTGGGGCCTGGTTTCTGCACTGCACGCCCCCCAGATCTCCAGAGCTCCTAAGCACTACTGTCCCCCTCTCTTAGCCTAGCTTCCCTCCTCCCACCTTGGGCCTGAGGCCAGGCTCCCAGCCAGGGGTGGGATACCGGCTCCTCCCTCCCAGGGAGGGCAGGGCTCCCGCTCAGGCCTGCCCCACTAAGCCTGCAGTCCCCTTCCTGGGGCCCGCCCACTTCTGGGAAAATTCTTGGGGCAGCTTGTGCCACAGCTGGCTGGGGATAGACAGATCACCTAATCTGCTTTCCCCACTGACGGACGGGGTCCCAGAGAGGAGCAGGGTGCTCCTGGAGTGAATTACGGGATGGGTGGAGCTCAGAGGAGGGCACAGTGTCCTCCTATTCCCCAGCCCCTGGGGCCTGTGTGCTGAGGGCTAGCTTGGCACAGGCTGGTAAGAGGCACAGGGCTATCTGCGCCCCTCACGGCCCTGTGCCCACACTGGTCAGGCTCCCTGAGGACGTCTCCAGCTTCCAGCCGCGACTATTTGAGTGCTCCAGCCAGACGGGCCACCTGGTCCTCATGGAAGTGATGTTCTTTAGCCAAGAGGACCTGGACAAGTATGACATCATGTTGCTTGACACCTGGCAGGAGGTGAGGCAGCCACCCCCTGCCTGGGTGAAGTGTGAATGGAGCGTGTCTGTATCTGTGTAACTGGGTGTGAGCATGTGTGACTTTGTGTGTTTCCAGCCATGTGACTGCAGGTAATGCTGCAGGTGCTTCTGTGGCTGTGTGACATTGTGACACTGTAACTGTGTGACCATGGATGTGAGACCATGGATGACTGTGTCACCGTGAGGCTGTGGGGGACTGTGACTGTGTCTGGGATGCGTGTGCAATAGTGAGCAGTTTTGTGACCAGAGTGTAACTCTATGTGTCTTATGATGGGGGTGCGTGATTCCAGGCAGCTGAGTGCCTGTGGCTGACCTGTGTCAGGGTTGAGTGGCCAACTGTAGATTGAATGACTGACTGCGTGTGTATATGTGATGTCTCTGTGTGACTGCATTTGCCTTTGTGTATGTGGCTGTGTGTAATGGCTGTGTGGTCAAGTAACTGGCCAGCCCAGCTCTAACCAGTGAGACTGTGTGAAAAAGAGAGAGACTCTGACTGGCTGCAGGAGTGGGAGACTGAGTGACTGTATTTGTGTGGTTGGGTAACGATGTTTCTGTGTGGCCATCTGCGGTTTTCAGGCTGGGTGTGTGAGACTGTGATCGGGTGTGATTGTGTTTATGTGTGACTGTGGTGACAGTGCGTGGCTGTGATTGGCTGTCTCCCTGTGTGGCGATGGACGATCGTGTGTCTGTAGAGCTGATCGTGTATGTGTCTGCCTCATTGTGTCTGTGACACTGTGTGAACGTGGTGATGAGGCTTGTGAGCTCCCATCGCAAAGAAACCAAAGCCCTTGCCAGAGCCCTGTGTGACCCGGCGGCCCCAACTCTCTGGCCCACTTTGCCCCCACTCTCCCCCTTGCTTGCTCTGTTCTCCCTGCTGCTCCTGGAACATGCCAGAACACTCAGGGCTTTTGCACTGGTTGTTTCTTCGGGTTAGAACACTTCCTGCCCAGACACACATGGGGCTTGCTCTCTCACCTCCCTCAGATCTCTAATGTAAAATTACAATATCCTACCACCATCACCACACTTCTTATCTTCTTTCCCTGCCTTATTTTTCTCCCTCTGATATCCTATGTATTTTGCTTATTTTTCTGTCTACCCCAATAAAATGAAAGCTCGACAAGGGCAGGGATTTTTGTCTTTTTTCTTCAAAGTTGTATTCCCAAAGCCTAGAACAGTGCCTGACACAGTAGGTGCTCCATAAATGTGTGGATTGAAAGCATAGGTGCATGCCTGTGACTTTCCGGCTTGTTTATGGTATATGGGTATGGCAGCCAGCTTACTGGGTGTGTCTGTCTGGCTGGCACGTGTGTGGGGGAATCTGAGACCATCTGATGGACAGAGGTGGGAGGGAAGTGGCCAGCTCCGGGCAGCCCCTCCACCTGCCCAAGGCCAGGCCTCCTCTGTGGCCCAGATCTTCCTGTGGCTTGGGCAAGCTGCAAGCGAGTGGAAGAAGGAGGCAGTGGCCTGGGGCAGGGAGTACCTGAAGACCCATCCGGCGGGGAGGAGCCCGGCCACGCCCATCGTGCTGGTCAAGCAGGGCCACGAGCCTCCCACCTTCACTGGATGGTTCCTTTCCTGGGACCCCTACAAGTGGACCGTGAGTGAGGCCTGAACCCCGTAGCCCCACCCTCATCTGGGGGAGAGGGCCTGCTCCGGGCAGACTGAGAGGAGGCATCGCCCTGCCCAGGGTCTTCCAGTGTGGGTGGGAGAGGTCTGCTCTTGTCCTCAGGCCCCCTCCCGGGTCCCATTGGTACCACTCCATCCTGCCCCTCGCCTGATTCTTGCCCCCAGAACAACCAGTCTTATGAGGAGGTGGTGGAGGGCAGCCTGGGAGCAACATCTGCCGTCTCTGAGATAACAGCTGTGAGTACCAGGGCCTCCTGGGCTTTCCCCTGGGGGTCTGGGCTCAGTCAGTGTGGTCCAGGTGGGCAGAGGGGCAGGGAAGGAGCCAGGCCCTGGTAGGTGGCAGGGGCTGCAGCTGGGGGCAAGAGGGCCAATGGGCCATGTGGCCTCCCTGTGGGAGCTTATCCACCACCTTGCCCAGCCTGAGTCCCCTCTCTGGACAGGAAGTCAAAAACTTCCAGCTGTCCAGATGGCCAAGCCATGGCAGGGCAAGCCCCTTGGCCCTACAAGCCCTCAAGGGCTCCCAGGACAGCTCAAAGAGTGAGCTGGAGCTAGGCCCCAAGGCAGGCAGCAGCAACAGCAGCAGCACCAGCACCAGGACCACTGCCAGCACCAGCACTAGGACCAGCGCCAGCTCCAGCACCAGCACTACAACCAGCTCCAGCACCAGCACCTACCACAGCAGCCCCAGATCCATGGTCAGTGGGAACCTGCCTCGCGAACAGCTGATGCACCAGGCCGCCGAGGACCTGCCAGATGGCGTGGACCCAGCCCACAAAGAGGTGGATGCCCAAGACCCCCTGCCACTCACTGCCCCAGCACTAACGCATCTAAAACTGAGCTGGTGGCACCCGGGGCATGACCCACTGAGGATGGGCAAGAGGCAGGCTGCCCAGGGAGATGTGTGTTCCAGATGGGGTGATAGGCAGAGAGATGTGGGAGAGGAGAGCCTTGATCCCTGAGATGACACCTCTGGGTGGGTGGGACAGAGTCTGGGCTCAGTTGACACCCTTCTCCTGCATCCACACCCCCACTTCCCTACCCAGTTCTATCTCTCAGACTCCGACTTCCAAGATATCTTTGGGAAATCCAAGGAAGAATTCTACAGCATGGCCAAGTGGAAGCAGCAGCAGGAGAAAAAGCAGCTTGGTTTCTTCTGAACCCAGGCCCTGCCTGTGCCCCCTACAGGGCCAAGGCCCCCCAGGAGACCTCCCACACACATACCTGAGCCCCTGGGGAGACCATGTTGGCACTCCCTGCTCAGAGACTCCTGGGTCACCCCCCTACTTGTCAATAAAAGCTTATGGCCCTCACAAGGTGTGGTGTGTGGGTTTCAAGTCTGGATCACTCAGTATGTCCACTTCTGGCAGAAGGGGCCTCTGGGGCCAGACGGTGTGGCCTGTGACATTCCAGAGAAGAACAGAGCTCTCTTTACCCTCCTCCTTGGAAGGGTTTGTTTCTTGCTGGTCCCTCCTGCCCAGTGGGTCCGACGACCTCCTCACTCCAGTATGAGTGTGTGATAGGTGGAGAGCGAGGTGCTGGTGCTCCAGTGCTCTGGGACACACACACATACACATGCTTTACAGGGATTTTTCTGGTGTCCAAGTAAAGAGACCACAGGACTTAGTCTTAAAGATTTTTATAAAAACCCTCAACCTAGGGCTGGCCAGAGGGCGGAGAGGGCTGCAGTGTTCTTCCTAACGGAATTGAGGACAGCTCCAGGGTCTGGACCTGCTCCTGAGACCCCCAAAGAGGCAGCAGCATGGACAGTACGTTAGAGCTGAAGGCAGTGCGGGGCCTCTAGCTCTGAGTGAAAGGGTGGGAGAGCCATACCTGTCTTGAACCCCAGACGTGGACAGAGAGCCTGGCCCACTCGAGGAGCTACCACCAGACCCCCCCAAGCCTAGTCCTGGAGGGACACCTTCACAAAGAGGGTGGCAGATGGGTGCTGGTCTCCATTCTTGGACAAGAGGTGGACGTGACGGTATCCTGGCGGGCAGATAGGTGGGAAGGAGCACACAGGGAGAGTTCTGGTCACTCAGAGAGGATGCTTCAAGGAGCAGCAGGACCCAGCCCAAGAGATGCCAGGCCCTGCCTCCCCCTCCCTGGCCCCCTCCCCTCAACAAACACTCACCCTGCTTGAGACTGCTCAGAGGGATGGTGCTCTGGCCAATGAAGTCATTCTTGGAGGAGGCATCATAATCCTCTACCACAAAGCGCACAAGGGCAAGCTCAGGCACAACCACCTCAAACTCAAACTCCGTGTCCCACCACGGGTTGAAACCTAGAGGTACAGGCACCACGTCAACAGCACGGACAGCAGCTCCAGTAGGTGGGCCCAGCCTAGGCCCAGCACATACCATTATTGGTGACTACGGGGGTCTGGCGGCTGGCTGTGTCTTTGCCCACACCATGAATCTCCACTGTCACCTTGGGGTCCACAATCGAATTTTTATTCTTATTGACTTTTGGCAACTGCTGCCCTGAGATGACCTGAGAAAAGGTGGGGGGAAATTAAGGGTTCAGAAGTGGTAGTGAGCAGGGAGGGAGGCCCATGGGCACCTGTCCCTCCTGTGGCTGGCCATACCGTGACACTGAGCTTCTTCTGAGTCCACCAGGGGCCCTGAGCCAGGGCACATGAGTTGAAGGTGGAGTTGGGGTCTCGTAGGAAGGCAGGCTTCAGCACATACCCACAGGCCCCATTGTCCTGGAAGCGGCCCTGGTACACGTCCATCTCTGGCCCAGGTGTCTGGAAGTTCAGGGCCACTACAGGCAGGACAAAGCAGTCACAGGCTGGAGACCGGCCTCAGGGGCCCTAGAGCCCAGCCTGCTCAGGATATACTGAGGCCTAGAGTCACACGGTGAGGCAGAAGCAGGGTCCAGGATCAGTCAGATGCCTACTGCCCTTCTGCCACCCTAAGTGACACACCACACGAACCTCACATTCCATTTCTGGTACCAGAATTCAAAGGACTAGTGTGCTAACGATGGGGTTTCAGACACTGTGACTTGCTGGTGGGGGGATATTTCCAAACGGAGATTACCAGCCCCTGAGCCCACAAATGCCTGTGTCTGGCCCTGCTTGGGTCCCCAGAGGCTCCTGGCCCCTGGCCCTCTGGACTGAAACCCTCACCGAGGCCTCCTCCCAGCCCCAGCCAAACTGTACCGATCTGGCAGCCCCCGTTCCACATGTCCACGGGGCTGTAGTTGGAGGAGTCCGTTCTCCACCCAGCTGGGTAGATCCTGCTCAGGTGACCCACGTTGTGGCGGACAAAGCTGTTCCCTGAGTGGGGTGTGAGTTGGTCAGATGTGGCTGCCTCCTGGTGAGCCCAAGCCCCTCCCCACCAGCTCTGTCTGCTAACAGCAGGGAGTCCCAACTCTGGGTGATGTCTGCGGTGATGGGAGCCAGGCCTGGCCGGGCCAGCTCAGATGGTCAGACAGACAGGCAGCACCCTCAGGGTGCTGATCAGCTCACCTGATTCTTGGAGGAGTCGGAGGGCGCGGTTCTCAGAGAAGGACGCCATCTCATAGAAAGCCTGCCCTGGGGTGCCAGAGCTGGAGAAGCCCCCAAAGTGGACGCTTTTGCAGTAAATGACCATGTCGGAGAGCTCCTTCACTAGCCTGAGCTTGTCCTCCTGGGGGCCATGGGGAGGCCCGAGTTAGATTCAGAGGTTGGGGCAGGTGGGCACTGAGAGAGCCAGAAACCCAGACACAGAGAGACAGAGATAGGGAGACAGACAGAGAGAGGGGGGCAGAGGGTCTGAGTGGCAGCCACAGAGAACTGAGACAAAGCAAATATCCCATGGGGTGATGGGGGAGGGCCCCAGGGCTGCCCCCACACTGCTCCCCCTTGAACCTTGGCCTTGTGCTGCACTCGGCTCCTCACTGCCTCATCCTCCATCTCCGCAGCCTCATCCTCATCTGACACAGTGGCCTCAGGGCTGCCTTCCCCTCCGGCGGGCATGAGCCCCCCAAGCTTCTTCCCCTTCAGCAAGATCTTCCCCTTAAGTTGCTAAGGGTGGAGGGGCAGCAGGTCAAGACCAAGCTGGCCTCCCAGCCAGTCCCCCTGTCCTCTCCTCTGGACACGCCCATTCCCACTGTGCACCTCAGGGGAAGGCAGGCTTGTGGTAGCCCCGTCCAGCGGCCGGTCCAACAACATGGGTCCCAGAATGGTGCGCAGGTGTCGTGCCATCACCTGCTGCTGCTCAAGGCTGCAGTGGTTCTCCAGGGACAGGATGACGGGGTAGGGGGACGCCTGGAGGCCCAAAGGCAGGTTAGGAGGGGTTGGTGGCTCCTAGCAGCCTCCTCTTTTCCCCCATGGGGTATGCCCACCTTGAAGGCATAGTCCCGGATGGCCCTGAGCACATCGCAGAAGAGGATCTTGGAGGTGAAAGTGTAACCGTGGTAGATGACTGGCTCCTGGTTGGGCCCGTCCCAGCAGTCGAGCTCCAGGCAGCGGCAGCCTTTGCACAGCGCCCTGCAGGTAGGAGGCACCATTAAGCCCCTGCCTTCCCACCTGGCAGCCCCTGAGCCCCACCGGGTAGCCCCACCATGCACACCGCCCCCCCGCCCCCCACCCTGGGGCCCCACCGTATGTAGGCCTCAGTGCTGCTGGGCCCGGTGAGCTGGTCTTCCAGCAGGTAGGTGTTGTGCGAGGAGGACACCAGGTAGTGACTGAGCGGCTGGCCCATGTCCTGGTAGACCCGCCGGTGCGCCAGGCTAAAGGCGCTGCCATCGGCCGATAGGAGGTACATGAGGAAGCCGTCCTTGGTCATCTGCCGCTGAGCCTTGGCTGGGATTGGGGAGACCGGTGCCAGTAAGAGCCCTCTGCCAGCCAGCCACCTCCAGGGGACCTTCACTGTGCCACTGCTCTGGGAGGAAGAGCCCCCACTCCCCCTGCCTCCCTGTCCTGAGCTGGTCCTTGATATCTCGTGGAAGGGGATAAACTGGGTCTCCTGACCAGACTGTGACTACCCCAGGGCAGGGCCCTGTCTCCTCCTCCTCTGCCTCACACTGTGAGGCCCCTGAGGGCAGAGCCTCATCTCCTCCTTCTCTGTGCCTTCAGACTGGAACCCTCTCTAGAACAGGGCCCTGTCTTGCATCTCAAAGCTGGGCCCAGGATGGGCACAAATAAAGAAACAGGAAAAGCGTCTGCTTCAGCCTTCTCTCTATTTCCTGGGGGAGGGGTCCTTAAAACCCCTGCAGGAGGAACCAAGAGAGGGCTAGTGATGCTGGAGCCCTGTCTCCCATCTCCCTGCTTTCTTGGGGCAGGCAAATAACTGACCAGGGCCCAGGGCCTGGCTGAGGTGCCCCCCTTCCCTCCAGCTCCTTACTCTTGGGCTGCAGTCTCCCCACGGGTCTCCCAGCCCAGTGTGGCCCCGGGACTGCCAGTCACAGGCCCTCACCAGTCTCATTGGGCTCATAGCGCTCAATGAGGGAAAGGGCCAGTGCAGGCCCTGCCGCCTCCTCCCGCTGCTGGTGCTGCAAGAATGCCACTAACTGATCCACCGACAGGGTCTCCCTGGCGCCCGCGGCCTTGGCAAAGGTGCTGTCGATCTCTTTCCGGTGGGTCAGCATCTTGTAGAAGGCCTCAATCTCCTCATCCTCCAGGGAGTCTGTCTGGGAGTGGTCACATTCCTGCAAAGCCAGGACAGCCAGGTGGGCAGGGCTCAGAGCCGGCCCTGGGCTAGGGTCAAGGACCCACTACCAGCCCTCGGTTCCTGCCTCACCCTGAAGATCTTCCGGGCATAGCTGTCGTCCACCTGGATGTTGAGCTCCTTCAGGAAGTTCTGCAGCTCCTTGAAGCTCATCTTGTTGTCCTTGTTTTTATCAGCTTTTCGCAAACAGGAGTGGATCCAGCTGGGCCAGAAGTAAGGAAAGAACCCAGGAGCCATGGAACCCCCAAGGTCCCAGCCAGAGCCATGGTTCAAGCCCAAGGTTAATTCCTGGGTCCGTGTGGACCAAGACTACCTGTAGACACAGCTCCCTGCCAGCCTGACTTACTGCACATCCACATTCAAGGCATGGTGGCCTCTTTGGAGGAAATGTTACATCCTATTAAGGGGTCTTTTTCCTATTTGCTGGCTTTAAACCCTTTCAAGTTTTTAAAAACATTTCTTTTCTCACTATAAAAGGGTTCATTATAGACAATTTAGAAAATGCAATAAACAAACAAATTCCCCATAGTCCTACCACTAGGGATAAATACTGTAACATTTCAAGGTATGCCCTTCTGGTTTTCAATATATAATTGTTAGCCAACTTGACTATAGCACTTGAGGCTTATTTTACAGGAAAGAGCAAATGTCAAGCCACT